GGCACCTCATTCACCATCTTAAATATTTTCTCCCTACATCGCAGGTGCACAATGACCAATGTTTACTACCTACAAGAAGCACAGCAGTAACCCAAGACTCCTTCGACAGCATCGTTTAGATATGTGATCTCTACCAGCTAGAAGAGGAGCATGAGCAGCAGATGGAAATACCACCATCTGCAAGCTCCTTTCCAGGCCATCCAACATGATATTGTCCTTTCAATGCCACAAGGTCAAAATCCTGGGGCTCCATCTCTAACAGCTCTGTTAGCAGGTGATCCAACATCTCATAACTAGTGATTCAAGAAAGCAGCTCGTCACTACCTTCTCAAGGGCAGCTAGGGATAGGCAATAAATGGTGGTTTTTCCCAGCGTGGCCCACATCCCATGAAAAAAATGAAAACCTCACACACTATCACACTGCAATGCAACACAGAAATTTAAATTAGAAACCAAGTCAAACTGAAGTAAACACAGCTTTCTGGTTAATTTAAATTGGACAATTCAATACTTGGAATTTGGATTTCCCAGCTTTACAATTTCTATTTTTTTAAAAATCTAATTGCTGGATAATGCTTTTTTTAAAAAAGTTGATACAGAAACAGAATTAATATTTTAAGTCCAATGTGACTCCTCTTCAGAATTGTTGATTTACTGATGTTTGATGATCATTTACTGATGTTGCTTAAATACATGTTTATTTAAACTCCAAACTAAATTTCCTACTGATTGACTAAAAATCAAGTCTTTTAGCTTTATAAAATAAGCTTTTTTTTGCCTCTATATTTTTAGATAAGAAATCAAAATACTTTGAAAATAAAACATCCTGTGCTCAAATTATTGATCAGAATTATCATGTTAATAATATTAGGAATCCCACAATAAAAATTAAAACAAACTATTCTTAAATCTCTACTCTAAATAGCTGAAACTATAGAAAAACAAACTGTAATATTATCATGTAAACTATTTCACACCACCTGGTGGTGAAACCTAAAAAAGACTACAAACAAGATTTCTTGAAGCTCACTGTCAATTAATTCTTAGAAAATTCAGCTATATTTGGTTGTCAGCATATGTTATCAGTGAATGAATTAACTTAACATCTGCATAGTTAACAAAAATCCAAAAAGTTTTAAGTCAAAGTCTGAGTTTACAACAAATTTTGTCTCCGTGCACTGATGAGTTCTTAACTAAATTGTACCCTGATTATTTTCAATTTATGTGATTTGAGTCACAAAGTAATGCTGTTTTTACAGTGTTACTGGCCCATTTATTGGTCTGACTACTGTCCCAGAATATTTGCCTGGCAAGGAAGACACCACGTCTCCCTCTATCCAGTCTCGAGTTAAAATAACAGACAAGCTCCAAAATAATATAGATTTTAAAAATAGCAGGGGTTGATAAAGCAAATTTGCATAGTCAATGAGTTCCCAACCAACTTTTGGAAAAGGGCCTTGATACCTGCAACTTAAAATCAGAGACACCAAATTGGGTCTGGAAAGGACTGGTCAAGTCAGCATTCTGCTTAAAATAGCCAAGCCAAGGATAAGGAAATATTAGACATATAGAAGTCACAGAACCACAGAATCTCTACAGTGCGGAAGCAGGCCGTTCAGCCCATCGAGTCCACACTGCCCATCTGGAGAGCATCCCAATGCCCTAACCTATCCCTGTAATCCTGCAGTTCCTATGATCCACCTAGCCTGCACATCTTTGGACTGTGGGAGCAAACCCACGGAAAGACGGGGAGAATTTGCAAACTCCATATAGTCACTTGAGGCTGGAATCGAACCCAGGTCCCTGGCACCATGAGAAAGCAGTGCTAACCACTGAGCCACCGTGCTGCCCCAACCCATATGACCAAAAGCCTGGGCAAAGAGGCAAATTTTTAGGAGTGACCTAAAGGAGAAGAGGGCATTGCAGAGTTTAGGAGAAAGGTTGTTAATGGCAAAGGTGATGCAACTAAGAAAATAATTCAACCATCGTGCAACCAAGAAAACAGTAAATGTGCATTAAACCAAAACAGGAAGATCAGATATTTCAAGGGTTGTAGGGCTAGAGGAGGTCAGAGAGAGAGAGAAGAGTAAGAACATGGTAGGATGTGAAAATAAAGATGAGGATTTTAATTCGGAGGCATTGCTTAACCATGAGCTGATTCAAATCAGTAAGCACCAGAATAATCGGTGAATGAGATTTAGTGAAAGTCGGAATAGAAGTCAAAGATATTTGAATGAGTTCAAAGTCATAAAAGGTAGAAAGTTACAGACCAATCAGGAAAACCTTGGAACAGTTGAAGTTTAGACAAAAAAAGGCATATACCAGGGCTTGAGCTACAGATGGGCCACGGAAAGGGTAATGGGCAAAGTTGTAGAGTTGCAAGTAGGCAATCCTGGTGAATGCAACATGCATATGAAAACTCAAACACAGGTGAACCAATAATATCTATGAAGTTATACTTCAGGAAGAACTGCTGTTCAATGAGTCAAAACAAAATGGGTCAATAAGAAGCACCTTTCTATAATTTAAAACAGATGTAAATACATACTGATGTATCTTATGGTAGAGTTTTGCAATGCCCTGGTGGGTCCAATCTTTTCCCAGCTGTGGCAAAATATGGCCTAAAGCATCAGACCTGGAAATACACAAATAATAATTGGTATTAAACATACAAAGTTGATAGTTCATTAAGGAATGGCTCAACAGCATCCGAATTCAAAACATGTGGCTCAACGTACAAGAATGCATGTAGATAAGGCCTAAGGCAGAATGTTCTCCAAACAGTTCAACTGGGAATTGAGAGTTAATTTATACTTGGGTTAAAAGATATGGGACAAAAAAATACCTTGGGCTGTTCAGCAACCTGATGATATTGGATCAACTGCCCATTAAACGAATGTTTGAAATTCAGTTCCATCAGTTCAGGCACTGTATAAGACAGGCAACTGATTTGACACCATCATGGATTAACTTCTACTCCATAAAGTCCAGCAGCAGTATCACTCTGAACTACTGCTGAAAGGAAAATTGTGCTTTTTACTGTCAATGTTCCAAAGCTAACTAATGACTTCCACTGAATCACAAAGGAGGCCATTTGAATAGTCGTTCCTTTGCTGGCTGTTTGAAAGAACAGTCGTGCTTGTTCCAAAACCCTCACCTTCTGTTCATATTATAACCTCCAGCCTATCTCCTTTTTGAAAGTTACAGAATTAGCTTCCACCACTTTTTTAGCTAAAGTATTCCAGATCCTGCATTCAAGCAGTATGAGAAATTTCCCCTCTGCTCTCCACTAAGTCTTTTTCTAAGGATTTTGAATCTGTGAACTCCAGTTGTTGACTCACTAGCCAGGGGTATTACATGTTCCCTATGTAATCTATCAAAACCCCTCTGATTATCCAGTAAAGCTTTACTGGCTTACCTAAGCCTTCTGTTCCAAGGAGGCCATTCCCAGTTTCTCCAATCTATCTTCATAAATGAAGTCCCTTAGCTTCCTTCAGTGCCCCTTTTCTAAGGCTTTTACATCTTTCTTGAAGTAGTGGTCCACAATACTTCAGCTGAGGCCTAACCAATGGTTTATGAAATTCTAGGATGATGTCACGGTTTTGATATTTTATGCCTCTTATTTATAACTTCAAGTAACAACTTAGATTTTTAATCACCTTATCAAGACACTCTGCCACCTTTAACCATATTGTATTGAGTTCTGGTAAACAACATCCCTGACAATGAAAATGTACTCGAAAATTTTTATCCCTTCAGACCTCACAATTAGAGATTTTAAAAATATCACTTTTTCTTTGTCTCTTCTAACTCTCTCCTTTATTCCCACTTATGAGAGCATCAACATCCCACATACGCTCATATTTTAGTACAAGATAATGGGGATAATAGTTTTTTTTATCTACACAAGACATTGGGCTGACAGAACAAAAGTCTGTACATTTAGATGACTGCACGGTCAATCTATAGCTATGAAAATCTATGCATTTACATTTCACGTTTTAAACCAGCAATCACACTGTAGTAGAGGGACAAAAGAATCAGGACTCATAAGTGTACAACAACCAGAGTGCACAGTTATGTAGGCTTCACTATACTTCTCAGTTGGTACAGGTAAGTGATCATTATGTTTTATAAATCTTGGAATATGGTTCAAGAACTTTTTCTCAGTATGGAAAGGAACAAGTTTAATTCGCATTACCATGAAAGTGCAAAAATAAAAAATGACAATTATAACACTAGTTATGGCTTCCTATTAAGCTATACATTCTTTTAATATAAGCAAATTTCAGCAAAAATAATTAGGGGTACAGTCAAACTTACTTTGTTATTGTGCCATCGATGTCAGATATAATAACTTTATCATCCCAGTTCCAGAGGTAAATGGTACCTTCACATCGACAGGTTCCCTGATATTGAGTTGTCACACTGAACACTGCATTATTTGGGCCATCCTTCAGATTCAGACTTTTCTAAAAAGGAGACAGAAACAAATATATTGAGAATAATTCAACATTGTAAAATTAAACACTGCTGGTTCACTCTAACTAAGACTTTGAAGTTAGTGGTGAAGTAATTGCATCACTGCTGCCCAGAAAGAAAGCTTCACACAAAGATCCAGCTCCCTCTCTCTGACCATCTCACTTTTTCCAATGGCACATGGAATTTTACAGTTATTTCTTCACAATCATTGGGAACTCCGAACCTTACAGTACTGTGGGAGAACCTATACCACATGAACTGTAGTAGTTCACTACCACCCTCTTGAAGACAATCACAGATGGACAATAAATATTATGCTGAGACACCTGCATCATGCAAACAAATAAGAAAACTTGCACCTGAATGCATGAACCCTTAAGATCTTCTATGTATTAAATAGAGCGCTAGTAGGAAGTACCCAACTTTTACATTTACATTGATTTCAATCGGAGTCTATTGGTGAGATGTTTTTATAGCATAGCCTGTGGAGGAGTAGTAAGGTAATTCTGACCTTAATTTAGGATTTCTATGTTTAACAGCACATGGGTGCAGTCTTTGATTTACCGTGCAAAAGCAGTTTTAATTGTTTACTTCACCATAATTCTCATCAAAAAATCCAGCACACAAGTAAACACTTATCACAAAATTATTACAGCACAAGGAAGCAATTCAGCCCTTCATGTCTGCACCAGCTCTCTAACAAACATTTCACTTAATGCCATTCTCTTGCCTTCTCTCCACAGCTCTGCATGTTGGTTTTTGAAACAAAAGCCAATGTAATTCCCTACAAAATGCCTTGACTGAACCTGCCTCTCCAACGCGAAGGCAGTTCAGGCCTTAACTGTTCTCTGCAACAGAAAGCTTCTCACATCACTTTGCTTCTTCTGCCAAATACCTTAAAATCTGTGCCACCTTGCTCTTAGTCCTTTCCCAAGTGGACCCTGTCCTGATTCCTTATGGTTTTGAATACCCCTATCAGATCTCCTTTCACTCTTCTCTTCTCCAAAGAAACAGAGAACAGTAATAATTTCTGAATCTATCTTCATAACTGAAATCCCTCATCCCTGAAACCATTCTCTTCCGCACCATCTATAATACCTTAACGTTCTTCCTAAAGTATAGTGCACAGATCCAGAAGTAATACTCTCGTTGAGGCCAAACTAGTGTCTTATATATGTTCAACATAACCTCCCTGCTCAAGAGCTCTACAGCAGCATTAATCAAGCAAAGGACATGTATATTTTATTGACTACATTCTCAAACTATCACACCCCTTAATGACTTATATACATATATACCCAGAACCGTCTGCTCCTGCACCTTCTTTACAGTTGTACCCTTTATGTGCATTGCTTCTCCTTCTTCCCAACTCACTGTTTTGAACTTCTGTCAAGCATCCACCAATTCCATCAACGTGTCTATATCCTTTTAATGCGCTACACCATTCTACTATTCAGTTTGCAGTGCTTCTAAACTTCATATCAGACACACATTTTGCCCTCTCCAGCAGTGGTTTTGGTCATTAACAAGGAAAAACAAGGATCCAAACACCAAAACCTGGGAAGCTCCCATACAAATCCTCTTCCAGCCCAAAGAACATCCATTTCCGCTGCTCTGTTTCTTGTCACTCAGCCAATTCTTCAGTCTTCACTGCTACTATCCTTTACATTCCATGAGCTGTAGCTGTGCCATCAAGTCTGTTGTTCGGCACTGTATCAAATGTCTTTTGGAAGTCTGTGGATAGCACATCAACAGCATCGCCCTCATCAGTACTCTGCAAACTCTTCAAAAAACTCAAGCAAGTTAGTTAAACATGATTTTTCCTCTCAAAATCCAAAACTTTCCTTAGTTAACACATATTTGTTCATGTGGCTATTAATTTTGTCCTGAAATATTCTTTCTAGATGTTTCCACACTAGTGAAGTTAAGCTGACCATCATACAGGCCCTTATTTGAACAAGGATGTAACTTTTGCAATTCCCCAGTTCTCAGTCTCTACTCAACACTCTAAGGAAGCCTGAAGTGTTACAGCCAATGCCTCTGCAATTTCTACCCTCACATCCCTCGGATGCATCTCACCTGGCCTGGTGCATGATCAACTTTAAGTAGACAGGTTTCCTCGTCCTTATCAATTGTACTGACTGTATTAACTCTGCTTTCTCCATAGCCTGTAAAGCAACATCTCCCATTGCAAAGACAGAAGCAAAGTATAAATTTAACATCTCGGCTATGTCGTCGACTTTCATGTGAAATCTCCTTTTTGATCACGAATTGTGCCGACTTTTTCTTTCACTACCATTTTCCTATTTATATACCTACAGAAGATTTTTTGTACGTAGCTGTACTGCTCTGACGAGGTGAATCTCGACATATAGAACCTGGCTTTGGATGGTCCTTGATGGTGTTGAAGCTTTTAAGTTAGCTGACAGTCTCCTTTCAAAATCACTCTTTGCTTCTTATTTGCTTTATCGCCACTCTTTTGAATCTTCTGTATTCAAACTGTTTCTGAATTGTATTTGCTGTTTAACAATGGTCATAAGCACACCTTTTTTCCTTACCTTAAATTCTATCTCCTTTGTCATCCAGTGAGCTTTGGATTTGCTTGTCCCACCTTTCCCTTTCAAGAGAATGTACCTCTTTCTGGAAGGTAGCCAATTGTTCAGCTATTATTTTCATGTCGCTGTTTGGCTCCAATTTATCTGACCCACATCTGCTCTTACACCATTGAAATGATCTTTCCCCAGCTCATTATCCTAATCTTGATTATTCAATATCTTTTTTCCTAGTCACCCAAGACCTTATGATACAATGATCATTGTCTCCAAAATATTCTGCTACCTATAATTGATCAATTTGGCCCACTTCCTTCACAGGAGCCAGACCTAACAGCGCTTCTTTCTCGATGGACTGAAAACATTGCTGCAAAAAGATTTCCTGAACTCTAGGAACTCATGTTCCTCGCTGGCCTTTGTATGACTACTATCCCAATCAATATTCAAATAATGAAAGTTCCCTATTGTAACTGCAATGTTGGCATTTTTAGCAGGTTTGTTCCCTTACACCACTCTCACTAATTGGCAACCTACAAACTAAGCCAAGAATGTGACTAGCATTTATTCATTCCCTAGCTACAGCCAAAACAATTCTATCATTGACCCCTGTGGGACGTACCCAATTTCCAGCATAGCAACGTTCGCTTAATCAATAACACCATTCCTCCATCTTCACTTCCTTTTCTGAACAACTTGCATCCAGGAATATTTACCCTCAGTCCTGCCTTTCTTTGAGCACAGCGTCTGTAGAAGCCACAACAGCGTATTTCCAAATGGTGATCTATGCCTGGAATTCACTAATCATTTTTCCCCATACTCTGTACATTCACTGAAATGTACAGTAACGCTGATTAAAATTTGTTTCATTCTCCTTCACTCTGACCACACCTATTAACTTCTTATTTCCTGTCCTAGGCCGATCTACCTCACCCAGTATCCTGTGTGCCTTGGTACCGTCTTTTGGATTCTACATCCCTGCCAAGTTATTTTAAACCCTCCGCAAGAGGACTAACAAAACAATCTGCGAGGAATTCTTCCAGACCTTGAGCATATTTTCAAAAATTACACTTTGAAATGGACTTAAGATTCCAAGTTCCAATTTTAAAAGAACAGGAGATATCTCCCAAATGTTTTGCTAGCATTTATCCCTCGACCAACATCATTAGATATTTTTTCTGGTTATTTTTCTCACTGTTGCTTGTGGAACATTGTTGCACAAGACTGGATACTGCTTTTCCCAATCTATATGATTAATTAAATCACTGACAAGTAAGCTAATTATTTGGCTGCGAGGTATTTTGTGATGTCTTTAAGTCAGGAAAGGTACCATATAAATTCCAGTTCATTCTTTAACATCCAAATCTGTGACATCTGAGGATACAAGTAAGTATTAAATGCAGGAGCCAATCCATAACCTATTTCAGATTCAAGTTATAAATGGTTGAAGCATATTTAAGAATTATTCACTTACTAGTTTTTCCGAGGACAGCCTCAGGGATTTTTTGTACGTAGCTGTATTGATCTGACAAGGTGAATCTCGACATTTAGAACCTGGCTTTGGATGGTCCTTGATGGTGTTGAAGTCATCATCACTAGAAGTCAACTCTTCTTTAGGCCTGTTCATAGACCAAAGATAAAGTAATAAAAGCGTAATCAAGTGACAACAGTTGACATGTTTTGCTTTGTAAAATACCCTATGTTTAATTTTAAGTTTAGACCCTACTGTTCTGGACTCCTCCCAGGGGAACAAGTTTCTATCTAGTCTAACAAATCCTTTTCTATCTTTAAGCATCAATTAGTTCAAGCACCTGAACTCAAAGAAAGCAAGGTTCTATAACCTGCAAGCTTGGTTATATGACCTCCAGTTCCTCACCAAAATCATGAATAGGCATGCCGAAAAGCCAAGACTCCAATACAGATCCCTGGTCCATTCACATTTTCCAAAAGAAAATAAAGATTTCACAATCAACATATAGCTGCAAATCATTTCCATCTTGTCTTGGGTATTCACACTTTTGAAGTGACTGCTCATAATCATTAACCCTTAACCTACCCCGACTCCTGGCACTATTTGGGGATGCTATTCCTGCACTGATGTAAACAGGTTTGTAACTTGTTAGTCCACTTGCACAACGGGTCTGCAACAAGTGGCTCATCTCCTGGTTCCTCAAGGCCTCTTCACCACCTACAATACTCACTAAATCACCTGCATAGGTCTAGCTGCAATAATTATCAAGAAACTCAAGAACATTTTAGATTATCATTCAAATCAAAACACATGCCTAATGCACCTAACACAGTAAACAATATTCACATCTTTCACCACAGGCCCATTGTGGCTACAGTATGCACCATGTACAAAGTAGCACAAGTTATCTCAATAGCACTTCAGTCCAATGTTCTGTAACACCTAGAACGACAAGTGCAGCAATATCATGGGAACACTATTTCCCTCAAAGTCATGCATCGTCTTAAAATGAACATTAACAGTCATCCCTTCATTGACACAAGGTCAAAGTCCTGGACTCTTGCTGAAGCCCATGGTGAAAGTACTGTCACCATAAGTAATGCAGCAGGTCAAAAGATGAGCCCTAGCACTGCATTTTCAATAGGAATAGACCATAGGCCACAGAATAAGTTTGTTTTAGTTGCTGGTGTGACATTTCCACACCAGTATTTTTATTTCCATGATATTGTAATTGACCAGTAACAGTTAAGATATTGATTTCTGCTCCATTTTTTTAAATAGTTTGCAATCATAGGCTCTTAGAAATAAATGATTCAGAGTGTTAGATAAGGGATTTATTTTAACACAACTTTTGAAACAGCTGTAAAAAGAAAAATTAACATTTCAATATTACCTGCAACCTTCAAGCAAGCTAGCTTGTTTATTTTCACTTCTTTCATTCTGTTCTTCACCTTTTTTGATACTGGATTCTGGCTAAAAACAAAGACACTGCATCAAGGCTCTGTACATGCCTAAAGCTAAGATGGCAATATCAAAACCATTACCAAGGCCATGTCTGCGAAATTTCAGTCTATACCATGAATATATCTTATAAGATGTAACCCCAAATCATGCGCCATTTTTATAGAAAATACCTCTTTACAATGCATTTTTTTTTAAATAGTGCATTTACAATTATTGTGGACAGATTCATTCTCTAATGAACTGAAATCTAACCTCCAGTTGTCATTATTAGTTGCCTACAGGACTTGCATGGTCTCAGAGTCAGTGTAAATCATACATAAATACAATATGACCACAAACAGATGCCCACAGAGTACTAGTACCCTAATTATTAAATGCTATTTCTGTCCGATTTGTGCTTGCTTCATTAACCCTTTTTTTTTAAGAAGTGGTAAAACAAAGACACAGAAAGAAGAAAGCATACCTCCTTTACGGCAGAGTTTTTCCTGCGCCAGGAGAACCACCAGCCACCAGTCTTTTTTGGCATCTTTTCCTTAACCAATTTATCTACAGTAGCCTAAGGTGAATAGGAACATTGATTCAAGGATCAAATTGCAAGAAGCTAGTTACGTATCTTCAAAGTTAAACTATATTAAGCTTCGATACTTCCTCTCCCCCAAAACATGTTGTCCTAATCTTATGACACCTCACGTTTTATTATAATCATTTACATTTTAAATTTAAATGCAAAATCCACTATATTTATCAACATTTGTATACAACCTAGGTAAAATTTCTCAGGGGAAAGCCAAGCACACTAGATAAGCTGGCTTGAGAACTGCATCTGAAGTCACATCGTACAAATACTCAATAGTTTATAAAATGAGCAATCACAATAGCAAACAGCACTGCTAGTTTAACAGTTCATCCAATGAATTGTTTTAAAAATACTGGATGACCAGTTTAACCTAAAATGCCAATGTGTTTTTGCCACAGATGCTCCCTAATTTGCTGACTGTTTCCAGTATTTACTGTTTGTTTTTAAATTTCCAACATCTGTAGGTTCTAGTTTAAAATTTTGAGACAAGATTCAAATAGGAACCGAAAATCTATAAAGAAAGGAAGCTTAAACAATTATATTATCTTTTGCAGTAAAATGGTATTATGAATTTGCTGAATGGATAAATGCATTAATAAGCCATATAGAATTGATCCAAATGTAGGTGAAATGGCACAGTGGTAATGTCATTGCGTTAGTAAGCCAGAGACTCAGACTAATGCTCTGGGGAGCTTGGGTTCAAATCCCATCATGACAGCTGGTGGAATCTGAATTCAGTTAATAAATCGAGAATACAAAGTGATCTCAGTAATGGTGATTGTTAAACTATCATTGACTGTTGCAGACCATTGGTTCACGAATGCCCTTTAGAGAAGCCTTAGCTCCAGAATACTTGAGACTCCAGTCCCAGAGCAAGGTGCTTGACTTTAAAGTGCCCTGTGAAAGTGCCTAACAAGCCATCAAAGGCAAATTAGGAATGGGCAATAAATGCTGGCCTTGCCAGGGACACCCACATTCTGCGAAAGTATTCCACTGCGGAGTCGTGGAGATTTGACTAAACTCCAGGATTAGTCTCAGATTGGCTGAGACCAACTAATTCAGCATAATGTAAGAAAACTGGAGAGAGAAAACAAAAGAACAACTAGCAAAGGCTCCAGATCCGTCACCAGTATTTACTTTTGACACTGCATATAGTTTCAGAAAGAAGAAACAGCAGTACATGCCATAACCAAATCACTTCACAATCTTCATTATCTGAAGTGATTAGTAAATTCCCAAGGATATTGAAGAGCTTCTAGCTCTTTTAGAGTCAAAATAAATATATTTTAGCATTGGTGCTGTCTTCAGAAGTAGAAGAGCAAAAAGTAGTAATTTTACTTGGTAGTAATTTCGAAATAAGCATGAAATTGGCTAATGATTATTGGGAAAGATAAAACAGATATGAATAGAGGTAAGTGAATATGACTTGATAGCTATAACAGAGGCATGGTAACAGGGTAACAAAGACTAAGAACATTCAAGGTAATTCCATAAGACACAGAAGCAGAAATTTGGCCATTCAGCCCAGCGAATCTGCTCTGCCATTCAATCATGGCTGATAAGTTTCTCAACCCCATTCTCCCGCTTTCTCCCTGTAACCCTCGATCCCCTTGACAATCAAGAACTTAGCTATCTCCAGCTTAAATATACTCAATGACCTGGCCTCCACAGCCTTCTACGGCAATGAATTCCATAGATTCACCACTCTTTGGCTGAAGATGTTTCTCCTGATCTCCAGTCTAAAAGGTCTTCCCTTTACTCTAAGGCTGTGCCCTCGGGTCTCAATCTCTCCTACCAACGGTAACGTCTTCCCAACAAACACACTGTCTAGGCTATTCAATATTCTGCAAGTTTCAAATAGATTCCCCCTCATCCTTCTAAACTCCATCGAGTATAGACCCAGACTCCTCAAACGTTCCTCATATGTTAAGCTTTTCATTCCTGGGACAATTCTCGTGAACCTCCTCTAAACCCATGCCAGGGCCAGTACATCTTTCCTGAGATATGGGGTCCAAAAGTACGCACAAGACTCTAAATGTGGCCTGACCAGAGTCTTATAGGGCGTCAGAAGTACATCCCTGCTCTTCAAGTCCTCAAAATAAACGCCAAAATTGCATTTGTCTTCCTAACTACTGACACAACATGCATGTTTTCCTTGAGAAAATCCTGGACTAGAACTCCCAAGTCTCTTTGCACTTCAGACTTGTGAATTTTCTCCCAATTTAGAAAATAGTCCATGTTTCTATTCTTCTTACCAAAGTGCATGACCTCACACTTTCCCACGCTGTACTCCATCCGCCATTTCTTTGCCCACTCTCCCCTTATCCAAATCCTTCTGCAGCCTCCCCACATCCTCCCCACATCCTCAATGCTACCTGTATATCTACCAATCTTTGTATCGTCTGCAAACTTAGCCAGAATGCTGTCAGCTCCTTTCTCTAGATCATTAGTGCATAAACTGAAAAGTTGTGGTCCCAACACTGACCCTTGCGGAACACTACTTGTCACCAGCTGCCATCCTGAGAAAGACCCTTTTATCCCCACTCTCTACTTTCTGCCAGACAGCCAATCTTCTATCCGTGCTAGCACCTTGCCTCTAACACCATGAGCTCTTATCTTACTCCGCAGACTCCTGTGCAGTACCTTGTCAAAGGCCTTCTTGAAGTCCTTTAGATTACATCCATTGGCTTTCCTTTGTCTAACCTGCTCATTACTTCCTCAGAGAATTCTAACAGATCTGTCAGGCACAAATTCCCCCTGATGAGGCCATGCTGACTTTGCCCTATTTTACCATGCACTGCCAAGTATTCAGAAATCTCATTCTTCACAATGGACTCTAAATTCTTACCCAGAGATTAGGCTAACTGGCCTGTAATTTTCAGTCTTTTACCTTACTCCCTTTTTAAACAGGGGTGTTACATTAGTGATATTGCAGTCCTCTGGGACACTCCTTGACTCTAGTGATTCCTGAAAGATCACCACTAACACCCACACTATCTCTTCAGTTATCTCCTTAAGAACTCTGGGGTGCAGCCCATCTGGTCCTGGTTACACCTGCAGGCCGTTCAGTTTTTCTAGCACCTTCTCCTTGGTGATGGCCACCATACTCAGCTCTCCCCCGACTCTCTTGAATTTTTGGAATATTACTCGTTCTTCCACTGTGAAGACTGACGCAAAGTAATTCTTCAGTTCCTCAGCCATTTCCTTGCTCCCCACTACTATCTCTCCAGCATCATTTTCCAGCAGCCCAATGTCTCTCTTTTGTCCTTTATACATCTAAAGAAACTCTTACAGTCCTCCTTTATATTACTGGCTAGTTTACCCTCATATTCAATCTTCTCCCTGCTTATTTCTTTTTTTGTTGCCCTCTGTTGGTCTTTGTAAGCTTCCCAATCCTCTGGTTTCCCACTGCCCTTCGCCACATTATAGGCTTTCTCTTTTGCTTTTATCCTATCCCTGGCTTCCCTATTCAGCAACGGTTGCCTCATCCTCCTGGTACCATGCGTCTTTTTCCTAGGGATGAATTTTTGCTGTGACTTCCGAGTTATTCTCAGAAACTCTTGTCATTGCTATTCCACTGTCTTCCCTGCTAGGCTCCTCTCCCAGTCAATTCTGCCCACTCCTCCCTCATGCCTCTGTAGTTGCCTTAATTCAACTGTAATACCGTTACCTCTGATTCCAGCTTCTCCCTCTCAAATTGCAAAGTAAATTCTATCATATTATGGTCACTGCCTCCTAAGGGTTTCCTCACTTTAAACTCCCTTATCAAGTCTGCCTCATTGCTCAACATTAAATCCTGTATTGCCTGTTCCCTAGTGGGCTCCACCACACACTGCTCCAAAAGCCATCTCGTAGACATTCCACAAATTCCTTTTCTTGCAATCCACTACCAACCAGATTTTCCCAGTTCACCTGCATATTGAAAACCTCATGATCATTGTAACTTTGCCTTTCTTGCACATGTTTTCTATCTCCTGGTATATTTTGTGCCCCAGCTCCTGACTACTGAATGGAGGCCTGTACGTAACTCCCACCTATGGATTTTTCACCTCTGAAATTCCTCAACTCTACCCACAGATTCTTCACCAACTGACCCTACTTCGTTTCTTACTATTGATTTAATTTCATTTCTTACTAATAAGGCAACCCCACCCTCACTGCCCACCTGCCTATCTTTTCGATGGAATGTATATCCATAGATATTCAGCTCCCAATCCTAATCCCCTTGCAGCCATATCTCCGTGATGCTCACCATGTCATATCTGCCAATTTCTATCTGCACAAGCTCATTTACCTTCTTTCTTATAATGCATGCATTCAGATATAACACCTTCAGTCCTATATTAACTGTCCCTCTTCTCATTGTCATTCGTTTATTCAGCGTGCTTGAAGTTTGATTCCCACCCTTTTCCAAAGGCTCTGTCCTATTTGAGTCTGTGCCGGAGACTTTAATGACCTCTCCTGTGTTCTTCTTTCTGTCATGTTTTTCATATTTTTCCCCGCAGTTTAATCTACCCAATATTCCAGAAAAATAAGCGAAAGGAAGAGGTGGTGAAGTAGCATCGTTAATAAAGGATAGTATCAGTGCAGTAGAGGGTAATGATATAGGTGGACCAGATTTTGAAATAGATTCAGTTTATTGAAAATAAGTATTAGCAAGGGAAAGAAGTCACTCATGGGAGTTGCCTAAGGCCTCAGAAGAGTTGCCTTACTGTTGAACAAAGTATAAACCAACAAATAATAGAAATGTCCATGTAGGGCACTACAATTGGCTTGAATGATTTTAATCTGCATAATAACTGGCCAAATCAGATGGATAAGGGTGGCAGAGACGATGCATCAGGAATTATTTCTTAGAGCAGTACATTGCAAATCTTACTGGGAACAGGCTAAAGATCTTTATAAGGAAGAAACAGCAGGATATTTAGAAAAGCTTAATGCAGTCAAACAGAATCAACATGGTTTTGTGAAACAGAAATAATGTTTGACAAGTTTGCTAGAGGTTATTGAAGGTGTAACAATCACAATGATGATGGGGAACTGGTAGATGTAGTGCATTTAGATTTCCAGAAAACATTCAATATGGTGCCACATAATATGTATCTTGTGCAAAAGCCTTTTATGTACTGGGCATGACTTGGTTCCAGAATAGAATTAAAGAACACACAAACTCATCATTCATTGCAACACAACAGGGACGTCTTATTCCATAAGTGTGCACTCTGTACAAGCAGAAGACAAGTCTGAACAAGCCCGTGAACCTGGCTGATGATTCACCAGTGGTCAAGTGACTTGTTTCTTAAAAGAACATTGTCCCGGCCAAACATACACCAACTGTAATACATAACAATAGGAGTTCATGGTATTGGTAGTCATGTATTAATAGGAATTGAGGATTGGTTAACATGCAGAAAAAATGATTCGGGACAAATTGGATTTTTTCAGGTTCGAAAGATACAACCAGTGGAGTGTCACAAGGATTAGCCCAAGGGCCTCAATTAGTTTACAATTTATATTAATCACGTGGAAGACGAAGCAAATGCAACATATCCATATTTCCTGTTGGTACAAAAATAGGTGGAATGGCATGTTAGATGAGGACGTAAGAAACCCGCAAGGGAATACTGATAGATTGACAGAGGGGCAAAAACTTGGCAGATGGAGTTTAATACTGAAAAGTGAGAGAAGAATAGGAAGAATCAAACGGCAGACTATTACTTAAATGGAGAGATACTGCAAAAAAAAAAAGTGCAGCACAATGGGATCTGGATACTCTTGTGCAATGACACACGAAAATATAGCATGCAGTGCAGCAAATGCCACTTTGGCCTTTGTTACCAAGGGTTAAAGTTTATACATAGGAAATCTTGAATCAACTGTTTCGGTCGCTGGTGAAGCCATGCCTGAAGTACTGTGTATAGTTTTGATTTCCGTATTTAAGAAAGGATATATTGACATTGGAGGCAGTTCAAGAAAGATTCACTAGGCTGATTTCTGGGATGAAGCAGTTGATTTATTGAGAACTGCTAGACAATTTAGGCTTTCATTCATCAGAATTCAGAAGAATGAGAGGTTGAAAAATACAAGATTTTGAGTGGACTTGACAGGGTAGACATTGAGAAGACATTTCCACTAGTGGGGTAATCTCAAAGTACAGACAGTTACAGAATAAGGGGACACTCATTTAAAATGGAGATGAGAAGGAATTTCTGCTCTCAGTGTGTTAAACGGCTGGAATTCTCCAAAGTGTTGGAAAGGCTAGATCACTGAAAGCATTGAAAGAGGTAGATAGATTTTTTAAATAACAATATGTTAACAGCTATGAGGAGCTGGCACCAAAGACGAGTTGAGGCTTGGAGCAGGTCAGCCATATTCTTATAGTATGGTGGGGCAGATTTGTGGGACTGAATGGCCAACTCCTGTTCCTATTTCCTATGTTCTTATCTAAATCACCTCGTATGTTCTAACCCTTTTAGTGAATAAATACATTTCATCAAGTGTACAATAACTACCTTTGGCAAATTCTTCTGAAAAACTTGAATGCAGAGAATCATGGGTGCAGCGACTGCCCAGTTGTAATATCTATGAAAAACAAAATATCCAGGATTTTCACACCAGGGTAAAGAATTCAATATTTAAAAATTATTTAGTACTACATCATTCAAATTGAAATAATGGTTAGTTTTACTAAATTTTAATCTATGAATTTTGCATCCTTTCTACTTCAAAATTTAACTTGGATTGTGTACCATTTAAGTCTATTTTAATTTCATCATAACCAATAAAAAGGATATCTTTCCTTCTGCCAAACACAGCTTCCCTGTTCCACACTGAATAAAGATTCTAGATGCTAGTTCACACATTTCCCAACTGATACAGTTTTTTTTTTAAAATGTCATTAGCAGATTTCTTTCATCAAGACCTGGAATAGAGAACAAGTGCTGGAGGCATAAAAATAACTCCAAGAGGAAACTCAGTCTCTCATTTTGAATTATTTATATTATTAAATGTCTGTTAAATGAATTCAAGACTTTTTGCGAGGACAATTGTGAAAAGAAAATTAGATAACAAGCACTTGATGTTACCTTGTCAGAATTCAGAGTGATGGATATTTATGGAATTTCCACCTCCCATTTCTGGTTGCCCAGGATTAGTTCAAACTCCACAAAGCAGTACAATTAAATAAATCAAACTTACTAAAAATTAAAAATGACGATATAAAAAATATTAAAGAAATGTAAATCAGAACAAAATAAGATGAAACAAAGAAAGTCATGAAGCAGATCTGCAAATAACCAGAAGAGCTGTGCAACTACAAAAAACAAAATCAGGAAATGCTAGATACAGGTCATTCAGCAGCTGCAAAGAGCAAAAGTAGGTTTTGATGCAATCCTTCTCTACTCTCGACAGCTGCCTGATTTGCCATCAATGGCCAGCATTGTTGGTTTTTCTTTCAGATTTGCAAAAGTTGCAAGGGATTTATTTTTGTTTAACCTATATTAAAATCAGGACAAACACAATGCGCTTGTATTAAGAAGTTTATTATTTTAACCAATTTTCACACTTTACTGAGAAGACAACCATTTTAAGAAGACAAGATTTACAGAAAATGTAGAACAGAAAAAGTTCTCAGGCACTCAGTTCCCCCACATAAAAGAGTTTGCATTGTTACAAGTTTATGAACTTACTTTTTATTAATTCCGATAACCAAATTTGGATCATCAATAATTCCGGGAGTTTCAACCAAATCCTGGTATGTGACTATGTGTTGCTCAAATTTCCCTGTAGCATAAACAATAAACAAGCATTTCAAGAGTCTTAAATGAGAATGACTTCACCATGCATGCAAAGAATTTGGTATTGACATCTTAAGTTCATAACAAAAAACAATGTTCTATAGGAACAATCAGAACTTGAACTGATCAGCATATGCATAAACATGCAACAAAAATCACTCAACGTAGTTTCAACAAAGGAAAATAAATCATTGTAACTTTATTATTTTGGTGACGCTTCATTTACTATTGCTGTCCTGACAGTCTACATATTGTTACAGCCAAGTGTGAAATGGTGAAATGCCTCTTTCCACCTCACAGCATCATGTATTTTAAATAATTTAAATAATTTGTCATTTTAGTGATTTTTTTTTAGCTCAAGTCTTGTAACTGTAAATGACATATAGAGGTAGGTTTTATTTTCAGTTCTAAAAAATTAAGAGTATTTATTGCCCTTTTCAGCCACCAGATTAAAAAGTGCTCTGATTGACTCAAATGCACACGAAAGACTCATTCCCACGAAGTAGTAGGTTACAAGGAGGGTAATTTAAATTGTTTCAGAGTTTGCAAAAGAAAGGCAATCCAATATAAATCTTGTAAGTTGATGCACTGGATGGTTTCAAGCTTCAGTGAGTTGTTTTTGCTGACCCTATGCAAAGATAATTTAAAATCTTGACACCTGATCTTGGCCTTCCTCTGAAGGCACCAGTTCTATATTTTATATTGAACATACTGCCTTCAATGTTTGACTTGTCAGATCCAGAGAGTGTACCTGGCTGTTGAATGCTGGAGGCAGACAGAGATCCACATGTTTTCTCCTAGTCATTGATGGTGTATCCAACTCAACAAAAGCAGTGTATTTTTTTTTAAAACGAAGGTTAGCTTGTTATTCATTCACAAACCAGTCATTTACTAAAAATGGTCATAGAGCATGCTGAGGAACCCTCATTCCAGATCCACTGTGTGCTGTGATCAAATTAAATGGTTAGTGTATCACTCAGCTTAGCCACGGTTCCACTTCCAAATCATTTCACAACGATGGCTCGATCTGCACTCACCTGAATAAACAGATCATGACTAGTTGTGTCTCCCTGAAATTCATATGATGGACTATTTTCACTTGCCATGGTAGGCTACTTCCAGACAACATAATTAATTCCTGACATCTTCACTTCATAAATTACAAAGTTATATAAATATTTGGCTATTGAAAACATATGTTTGAGTCACTTAAAAATACTGGTGCCAGTCTTTTAAAACATATCCTGTGTTTCAGTCCACTCAAATAGTAATTTTGATACAAACATTGTTTTATAACAATATTGATAACAAAACATTTAATTCTCTCATGTCAAACTTTTCAAAGAGCTCCAAGTCAGGGGGAGGGAGCTTGAAGGTGCTAGAGTTTCCATCCATCTACTGTTCTTCTCCTTCTAGATGGTAAATGTCACAGGCTTGGAAGGTGCTTAGTCACAGATTCAGCATTGGGCAAGTTGGTGCAGTGCATTGACACTGTGTCCAGAATGAGGAAAGTGAACATTTCAAGGAGTTAAATATGAATGCAAATGCTTCTGTTTTGTCATGTGCACTGACGTAGTAGGCTGCCCCAACATGGAGGAGGATTGTCCACCGGTCAACTGCAGAGTTTTGACCTAATCTGTTGATAGTATAATCAATTATCTCTGTTTAGCATGCACTATGCTGTTCAGCATGCATGTAGCTATATTACAGCTTCACCAGGTTGGCACCTCATTTTGCTGTTGCTGCTTCACACATAGACTCAATCCCTAGGATTCATGGTGACGGCTATGCTGGACTATAAGATTATACACTGTCATTAAATACAGTTCTGCTGCTGTTGCTGATAGCCCACAGTGCACCATGGATGCCCATCTTTAAGCTGCTAGATCTTTTCTGAACTTACCTGCCCCATTTAGCACAGTGGAAGCACCACACAACATGACAGATAGTACTATCAGTGTAAAGATGAAACATTGCCTCCACAAGAACTGCGTGGTGGTCACTCTACTAAAAATATCTTGCACAAGGGTATCTGCAATAGTGCAACACTCTTAACAATGGCCACTGAAATCCCCACCCACAGAGTATATGCTGTGCTTTTGCAACCAAATCTTTTCAATATATCTTTCAATATATGTTCGACATGAAAGAGCACTAATTCATTAGCTGAGGGAGGGCACTAATTGGTAATACTTGCCCATGCCTGGACTGACACAATGAAACTTTACGGGGTCCAGAGCCAACGCTGAAGATTCCAAGGGAAATTCCCTACTGACTGAATTTTATTGTATTGGTGAGACGGCCATACCCACTGTTGGTGATGAAGGAATATAGAGTGTTGGCTGCAAGGTCAGATTTGGTAAGAACGACTATGTCAGACTATTGCTTGACTGGCGTGTGGGGGAGATCTCCCAACTTTGGCACAAGTCACAAAACAGTGGTAAGGATTATTTTGCAAAGTCAACTGGAGAGTGTGCTGTTTTCATTTTCAGTGTCTCAGTTGGGTGGTCAGTGCGGTTTTATTCTTTTCCATACTTGCTTGATATAGCCTAGTGGCTTACTTCAGAGGGCAGTTAAAAGTCAAGCACGTAACTGTGGATTTGTAGTCAGACATATGCCAGACTGGTTAGGGCAACAGATTTCCATCTATAAAGATGCCACATACATTAGGTATGATCTTGAATCCTATCATCCAATTTAATACCTTGGATTTTCATGGATTGAAATAGTTTTGAAAAAGGAACCAAAAGCACAAACTAAAAATGAAACAGTTCAGCCAGGTTTCATGAAAACCAACATGAATTCAACAAAAGACATCATCCTACACTACCCTTTATTACCAAGGGTAATAGAACTAGCCAGAGATCCTCCCAGGGAGCAGTGAAAGCATCCTCATCTCCTATCTGATTTTCACAACCATGAGAATCTTCACATGTTGAAGGCAAGATATCACCTGCAGTCAGAATATACACAAATTGCTATTTCAACAGGCTCTGTGGCAGAAGCAGACCAGATGGATTTTTGACTGAAAGCAGAGTTGAGGATATTAGATTAGACATTATCTATTGAACGGAGGAGCAGACTCAAATCGGCCAAATGGTTTTCTAATTCTTATAGACTGCAGAACTGAAAAAAGCTGAAGGACACCCTGCCTCTCAAAAAAAGAAACTCGGTGACAACACTGAACGGTTTACTCCTGCTGACAATACAAGAATCCAACTAGCCAACATGATCTCAGGTTAAAACCTTTATGATTCAAAGACACCCAAAGGACATTAAACTAGATGTTCCTTTATCTCTCATTTATACCAGACACTATTCCCTTTTAATGTTGTATACGCATGTGTGCCACATCTTTATTATTTTTCTCAGTGTTAGCAGGTAATAAACTTGCATTTTTTTTTAAACTCAAGAAAATATTGTCTCATACTGCAACAGTAAAAATTAGTTGCCTATATTTTAATCGCAGAAAGGTATAGACACGAGGTAATAAAAAAATTAAACCTCTGTTGCAGACAACCGGGGAGGCTGCAACAAGGGGACTTAATTCACCCCCACCTCACTTTGCTCACAACACTTACCGAAAGGACATGAGTGAACTCGAAGGATTTTAAGGACAATACAGTAATTTCATGCTAAGCATTATTGAAACCAGCTTCTAATTACAGATTTAATAAATTAATCTGGAGACTGACAACACAGAGTGCATACTCCATTTAGTTTTCTTAAAGAAACAGTAGTGATTAATAATACGTTTAATGAACCAAAGTCAATATTGTCTATGGCAAAATCATTACATATTTTTCCCCTAACAATAACAACAAACATACACCAAATCATCAATGCTAATGAAGCATCGAAGCAGCTCCCACTGCTGTTCTAAACATGTCAGTAAAGAAAAAAAGATTGCACACGTGGCAGTTTTGAAAACTTGTGTGAGCTGCAAATGAAGAGGATTGTGCCAGTGCAAAAAACATTTGCATCTGTATTTAATAAAGGTGTGTAGGTATTTTAATAAATAAACCAAAAGATTTCAAAAGGCTTAGAAGAATTTTCACACAGGTTAGCTAAGCACAACAAAGAGAATACTGAACGCAGAAGACGTAAATCATATTTAAAATAAAAATGGAAAAAAAAACAATATTTTGAATGAACAGTAGCTAGATGAAACAATTATCATATTGAACACAATTCAAAATATTAGAATTCTCCAATAAAGCCTACAGGTATTAACCACCTTAAGCCTTTACCTTGAGAAATCTCATTGTTGTCATTGAGGCCACCACACAGAGATAGATTTACATCTGGGAGTTCACTAGCTGAATCAGACAGATATTCGGTCCCACTATCTGCACCTGCACTTCCTACTGATTGTGGAGATTGCGACTCTGAATGTGTACCAAATTCATTCAACTGCTTAGAACTTGAATCCTGTTCACTGAAAAGGAAAAAGCAACAGTTAAATCCAGGAGACAAAATTAATAAAAATAAAAATTAACTCTGATGAAAAGATAAATTACATCAGCAAGCTCAATTATAAGGTCTCTCATGACAATATTTGGGAACATGGCGATTTGTTTTCTTTTATCTGGCACTGATGGTATTAACATCAAAATCCAGAAGACAGCCACCACGTTACAAATGGTATGTGGTAATGCTAAGTACTAATCGCATATCCTTGATTACATTTCCAAGGAGAGAAAGTGCACTTGAATAACACCACATCTACCATGAGAAACATTAACTCCCTTTCTTCAAGTCAAAGGTGTGGCCATGGATACCTGCATAAGCCCCAGTTATACCAGTCTCATTTCTTGTTCCTGTCCTACTCAGGCCCCCATCCACAACTCTTTCTCCCATACATCGAGGACATTATCAGGACTGCTTCCCTCTCTCATCCAGAAATGGAAATGTTTATCAATTTCACTTCCAATTTCCACCCTGTTTTCACGTTCAACTAGTTCATCTTTGACTCCTCCTTTCCTCACCATCTCCGTTTCCATTTCTGGGGATAAACTAGCCACCAATATCCACTATAAACCCACCAAATTCCACTGTTACCTTGACTGTACACACACTCGCCCGGCTTCCTGTGAAGACTCTATTCCATTCTCTCAGTTTCTCCGTCTCTATCACAATTGGTCCAATGATGTCAGCTTCTACAAGGGGGCCTACAAGATGTCTACCTTATTCCTCAACTGAGGATTCCCCACCATCATGGTTGACAGGTCCTTAGCCATGTGTGACCCATCTCCTGCACTTCGGCCCTCATCCATTCTCTTCCCTCCCACAAAAGCATACGGGTCTCCCTACACTTCACTTACCACCCCATCAGCATCCACATCCATTAGCCATATCCACCACAGACATATCCTTTGTCAGCATTCTGTAGGGACTGCTCCCTACAGGGCACCTTGGTCTACACTCCTTCACTCCCTACATCCCCCGGCATATTCCTTTGTAATCACAGTAGGTGTAACACCTACCTGTTTACTGCCTCACTCCTGACTGTCCCAGACACATCTTCCAAGTGAAGCACTTACCTATGCATCATTCAACATAGTCTACTGTATTCACTGTTCACATTATGCTCTGTCCAACACTGGGAAGATGAAACACAGACTGAGTGATCGCTTTGTAGAACACTTATGTTCTGTCCACAAAAACGATCCTGACGTTGCAGTCGTCTGCCACTTCAACCAACCACCCTGTTCCTGGCCAACATCTCTGCCATTGGATTGCTGCAGTGCTCCAGAGAAGCTCAGCGAAAGCTGAAAGAATAGCATCTCATTTTCTCCTGGGGATCCTGCAGCCTTCAGGATGCAATTATCGGGTTCAATAAGTTTACGGCAAGAGCATCTTCTCTCATGTTCTTATCCCAATTCCCACACATGGGCCTTGTTATCACATGGGCTCCTAACACAAACAACCGATTGGTGAGCTAATACAGTCCCCATTAGCAGGTATTGATTCTCCCAGGTTGACCTTCATCCATTCTTTTGTCTGCCCAATTGTTGACCTCTCTCTGGGCTTCATCTCCACCTATCAGTTACTCCTCCCCATTTCCCCACCCCAGCTTCAGCAACAATACCAACCTTTTCCTAGCTCCAATCAGTTCTAAAGTTCGGTCACTGGACCAGAAACGTTAACTCCGTTTCTCTCCTCAGAATCTGCCCGACCTGCTGAGTTGTTCCAGCAATTTCTTTTTGTGGTACTAGATCAATAATATTTCGAGTAGTCTACAAAATTGTGTAAAAGAACTATGCACAATTTTAATCTCCAAAAACATGACATTCTATCCCAGAACAGAAAACACAAGATGGCAAACAAAAATAGAGATTGCTGGAAAATCTCAGTAGGTCTGGCAGCACCTGTGAAGAGAAATCAGAGTTAACACTTCGGGTCCAGTGACCCTCCTCGGAACATGACAAGATGGCAAGTCAGTCAAATGCTATCAAACAAAAAAATCTGCTTAAAATAGCCTTTAAGTTTAGCAACAAAGTGAATTTCTGCACAATCTTTTCACAAAATTTCTTTTTCTCTATGTATTTAATCACAGTACCTCTTTGGGAAATATAGAGCTGCAATATTAGGATCCAATTTTTGTAGGTCATCTAAATAAATATCACAGGGACCCAGATGTTGGTTTCTTTTAGGTCCACCTATTCCAGAGCACAAAAAGACGTGCACAAACTTACATATTTGTGTTTGCCATTTAGAAAAATATATGAACATACAAGGTTAAAAGTTAAATAATGATTACAATCCAGTACCTACTATGCATTATCTTGAAAGAGTAACGTGTTATTTAGAATAAGGTATTTGTACCGAAATTGTATAATATTCACATTGAAGTTTGAAGTACAACAGCTGCCGTTCATCCGCTTACGTTACCATATTTAAACCTTCAAGTTTTAATTTAACAGTGAATGAACAGATCATATCAATTCAATAATTCATGACTTTGCCCAAAATTCCAGTTTTAAAACCATATCAAAAAGGATCTAACAAATAAAGTAGTTCTTTGCATTTGAGAGTCAATATCCCTTTTTTCCTACAACAGCATTTCTTTTTCATTGCAACCAAGAAACTCTGAACAATTTGAGTGCAGACACTGCCTCACCATTTTACTCTGTTAGGATCCTGGTGTACAATACCTCATTACTTCACTTGTTTGTAATTGATGGGGTATCAGTTGAAGCTACTGTCTCAACTGTAAACATAATGCCCAAGACTTAAATCAGTGTCTGCTACTGATTTCCAGAAATAGAGGTTGTCAATGTAGGTACAATTCAGAAAAGAAAATGATAAATCAACAGAGATAACAAGGTGTAGAGCTGGATGAACACAGCAAGCCAAGCAGCATCAGAGGAACAGGAAAGCTGACGTTTCGGGTCCAGAACCTTCTTCAGAAAATTTTCTGAAGAAGGGTCTAGACCCGAAACGTCAGCTTTCCTGCTCCTCTGATGCTGCTTGGCCTGCTGTGTTCTTCCAGCTCTACATCTTGTTATTTCAGATTCTCCAGCATCTGCAGTTCCTACTATCTCTGAAACAATGATAAATCAACAAACAAGATTCCAAACCAAAAAAATGAAGCTTCGGATGAAACTCAAATCTGCCCGTTGCAGCATTCCTTCCACATTATTTTTTGTCTGGGACCGGGAAAATTAGTGGGGTCTGTTGGGATCTTAGAAGCATTTGTGTCGTGAGAGATGCAAGAGTGGACATGAGTTAGTAAACAGGAGACAAAGATAGAGGGTCAACAGGAAGGCTAAGAAGCACATTGGTCAAAGCAATTATGCAAGTGTCCTCAATATCCACTCTTGGTTTTGGGTCACTTGTTCACCACAGGATTTGAACGAAATCCATGAAGCAAAACGACAGAGGAATATGCCTTGAGAAGGCACATACAGGGTGAAGATATACAGAGTGAAAGCAACTGTCAGACATTCATGCTTCTCTTACTTTCTACGTCTCTCATTAAAATTAATCAGGGCATAATGCGTTATGCACTTTATTTCACATTTACAAACAATAATAGTTTGTAATCTTTCACAACTTCTCACACTCTGCAACAGCTTAACTTGAAAATCTTATTGAATATATAATCACAAGTCTGGTCAGTACAAGTCCAAAAGTAAAATGAGCGAAGATAACCAATTAAGCTCCCATGCAATTCCAAGTATTAATCCAATATTTACAGAAACTATTTGGAAGACACTATATTAGTGGATGAGCAAAATGCCCTTCTAAATAACAGGACAAAAAAATTATTCTTAAAATGCATATTTCAATCTGTCCAAGCAGGACCATAACAGAAGCTCCCCTTCAAGCCACACACCATCCAAGCTTGCAATTATGTCACCTTTTCTTCATTGTCACTGGATCAAATTACTGGAACTTTCTACATAACAGGAATGTGGGTGAACTTGCACCAAATAAACTGAAGCAATTCTAAACGGCTGCTCACTACCACCTTCTGAAGTATAACAATGAATGCGCAATAAGTTGCCTGTCGTGACAACCACTCACCAAAAGACTCCCATTTGCAAATGTAGACTTACCTGCAAGTAGCTGCACCCATTCTATGTTTGCCAAATTCTGACTATAGATATTGAAATATGCTTTCCCAAATTTAGAAACTTAACACCTACACTATCTTTATCCCTTTCCATAAGGACTTTGTAAGTTAGATTGTTATGGTCACTATTCTCAAAATGGTCACCCATTGACACTTCAAACACTTGACTGGCTTCATTCCCTCGGATTAGGTCTAGCACTGCCCCAACTCAAGTATGACTGCGTATATACTGGCACAAAAAGCTCTCCTAAACACAGTTTAAAAATCCCACCCTGTCTAATCCTTTACACTAAAGGCCATCTCAGTTCATGTTAGCTAAGTTGAAGTTTCAAACAACTATAACCCTGTGTTTTCTCACATACCGCTGTGGTTTGTCTACATATCTGCTCCTCTATCACCCTTTGGCTGTTAGGAGGCCTGTATTATAATCCCAGCAAGGTAATTTCCCGTTTTGTTATTCCAGATCATCACGTTTGAAGACCCTTCTAGGATGTCTTCCCTCATTACTGCAAAGATGGTGCCCTTAATCAACGATGCAATGCCCCCACCTCTCTTACATCAACCCCTCCCATCGCACCAGAAACTTCTATACCCTGGAATGTTGAGCTGCCAGTTCTGTCCATTCTTTGACCATGTCTCAGTGATTGCAACAGTTTCATACTCCCACAAGCTGATCAATGCTCTAAATTCATCTGCCTTACCAGTAAAGCTCCTTGCATTAATATCAACACGATTTAGCTTTCTAGACCTCACATGTACCTTATCCATCAAATGGACTGTCCTAGCATTCCTTCTGTATCTGATTCTATTTCCCGATTTTACATCCACTCTATGCCCCATATCCCTGCCAAATTTGTTTAACGCTTCCCCAATGTCTCATCAACAATTAAATTCCAGTATTTATTATCAAGCTTACAAGAAAGGCAGCTTTCAATTTTAACTCTAGTTTAAAGCTAAAACTAAACTGAGACTTTTTAAACTGCGATAAAATTAAAAACCCAATTTTCACAAGATTTTTAAAATTCCTCCAATCTCCAAGAACTATATGTTCCTTTGATCCCAACCATTTGAGAATTCTCTCAAGCCTCGGCTTTACATTCTAGAATTCACTACCTAAACTTCACTGGTACTCCTCCCACAAGACCTTTCTTAAAACCTCCGTCTTTAAGCAAAGTTTTAGTAACCCTCCAGTTACCTCCTCCTTCGATCATTCAGCAATTTTTGAATTATCTTCTGAGATTTTCCTTTATGTTGAAGGCTCTGTACAAATCCAAGTTGTTATTATAGATGTATAGATGTATATATTGTTATTTATAGAAGTATTATAGATGTTGAAAAACGATGCACCCATACCAGGTGGTCTTGAACTTCCGTAGATTTTAGTCAAGCAAAAATCTTTTGATTTTCATTTTCGGTGGTGCTTTATGAAGATCTCAAATCTCAATATTGATATCATAATTAAATGTAAAATAGCTCTAAGTGCAATACATTACTGAAAATAAATATGGATTATATTAAATTTTTTATATTATTACTGTTAAGTAGAATGTACAACTAGTAAAAAAGTATACATTTCCAGAAAAAGGTATCCTTTTTGAAAAAGCCACAGGAAAAAACTTGTTACATTTACATTACCTTTCTTTTTGTCTATTTCTTCTGTTTTTACACTGGTATCGAGGAATAATGTCTGCTGGGCTGGATTATTATTACTTTCTAAAGTGGGTGGACTCTCAGGTTCTTGCCGAGGAGCGTACTGAAAGATTTCAACGCCTTGAGATTCTGATGTACATGTTTCAGTAGTTTCTGACAGCAATGACTGGCCTGCAATATTTGATACTAAAGTCTCTGTCACAACATCTGCTTGTTCTGTTGTCCAAGAGGTGCCTTCTAGGAATGCTGTCTCCATTGTGGGTGGAACTGTCTGTACCATGGATGTTTCATGCAATGGAGGACTTCTTTGGTTTCGAGGCTGAGGCTTGAAAACGGTTATGATATTACTGATTTCAGAGGAATCACAAGCAGTTCCATCTGCTGCGCTACTATCCGTGATGACTCGAAAATGTGTATGCTCAGAAGGTGTAATGGTAGCTACTCTTGGCTGCTCAGGCTTCTCCATTTTACTGACCTATAAGAGGAAGGCCATTTCTTTATATAGTCATTAAGTTATGAGTGGAACACGTTTTGTCGTAAATGCATTGAAATACAAGTCAACAGCTTTTAACATTTGTGCAAGAGAAATTCTTTATAAATATTGAAAATGGTGTCCACTACATTATTACAATGTAGTTATATAATCAGTAAAAATAAGAGTTTTCTTTGTGCTATAAACGATCAACATTAAAATGTTTAGTAATCTGAAACTAAGAATGCAGTTACTTCATCAAACAAGATTTGAAAACATTTTTGCTAACAAGAACTCAAATACTTAAAAATAGACAATTAAAAAAACACAATTAACAAAATCTTTCCTTGTATTGTATTGCATTATACTTATGAGGTTTAGTTTAAAAAAGAATGGTTCTAAGTAGTTAAAGAGGTTAATCAAATTTCAGGTTCCTTGTTCAAGGTTCAATATTCCAAATTCATCACATTGGTGGTTAGTCATGCAGCTGCCTGAAAAGTACTGTGCAGGCCTGGCTCAATATTAAATACTATGATTGCATGGCTAGACAAAATAATTTGACGGTACTATGCATTGAAAAATAGCAAGATTTAACAAGGGACATTGGCAATCACTGACTGAATTTATTTTTTAATATAGCTACAGAAAAAAATTACAAATTGCACAAACTGAAGTAACATAAATATTTGACAAAATTATCAGATGATACCGTACCTGTGGAAAACCTCCCCACGTCCACTGCATCCGAGATTCTGTTCCCATGAAGGATCCTTCATGTGATTTTACAACCAATTCAGAGTCACTTTTTGGTGATGAAATTCGGTCGTAAGAATAGCTAAAACAATACATTTTGATCCGTAAGTTTCTTAACATTATTACAATGAAGCTAAACTTTAAAAAAACTAACTTCAGTAACCATACCTCTCGATAGAAGACCATTCACCATCTGAATATGGATAGATTTCTCGAGAGTGATAGGTGCTTGAATCTTTATTGGGTAATTCAGAAAAGAAATTACACATTTCACTGCTGTAGGAAAGATAGAATCATGATTGGTGCATTTATTTTTTCAATAATATAGAGAATATTTTAGGTTAAGAATAAACTTTTAACTTTTTTTTAAACAGAATCCCTGCAGTGTGAAAACAGGCCCTTCAGCCAACAAGTCCACACTGACCGTCACAGCATCCCACCCACACCCATCCCCCTATAACCCACCTAATCTACACATCCCTGAACATTACGGGCAATTTAGCATGGCCAATCCGCCTAGCCTGCACATCTTTGGACTGTGGGAGGAAACTGGAGCACCCAGAGGAAACCAATGCAGACACGGGGTAAACGTGCAAACTCCACACAGACAGTCACCCAAGGGTGGAATCGATCCCAGGTGCCTGGTGCTGTGAGGCAGCAATGCTAACCACTGAGCCACTGTGCCGTCACCTCTATTAATTACTCAAAAATAAAAATGGGATTTTGCTGTATGAACAAAGATTGTATAACAGAAACCGTACAGCACAGGAACAGGTCCTTTGGTCCACCATATCAATGCCGACCATGATGCTATTCTAAACTAACCCTATCTGCCTCCACATGGTCCGTATCCCTCTATTCCTGTTCATGTGTCTGTCTAATTGCTTCTTAAACCTTGCTAAGTTCTCCTAAGTTTCTGCTTCTGCCACCTTCCCTGGCAGTGCATTCCAATGTACCTACCCCAAGTAAAAAAACATTCCTTACATATCTCCTTTGAACCTTCCCCCTCTCACCTTAAACTTATGCCCCCTTGTACGTGACATTCTACCCTGGGAAAAAGATTCCAACTAGCCATCCTATCCACGTCTCTCATAATCTTATATACTTCTATCAGGTCGCCCTTCATCCTCCAATGCTCGAGCAAAAACAATCCAAATTTGTCCAAATCCAATCCAAGCAACATGCTGATAAACACCTTCTGCACCTGCTCCAAAGTCTCCACGTCCTTCCAATAATGCAGCAAACAGTACGCGAAATGTGGCCTCACTAAAGTCTTATAATGTTACAACATGGCTTGACAACTTTTATACTCGGTGTCTCAAGCAAGCATGCCATATGCCTTCTTTACCATCTTATTCACCCGTGTTGCCATTGTCAGGGAGCTATGGACTTGGACCCCAAGATCTATCTGTAAATGGTGAGGCCATTTATAATATATTTTGCATTTGACCTCCCAAAATGCATCACTTCACACTTTTTGGATTAAACTCCAACTATTTCTCTGTCCAACTATCCAGCTGATTTCTATCACACTGTTTCTTTTGACCACCCTCCTCATGATCCGTAACTCCACCAATTTTCGTGTCATCTACAAACTTACTAATCAGATCATCTACATTTTCATCCAAATCATTTATATAAATCACAAACAAAGGTCCCAGCACTGATCCTTGTGGAACCTCCAGTCAGAAAAATATCCCCCTACAATCACCCTCTGTCATCTATGGCCAAGCCAATTTTGTATCTAACTTTCCAACTTGCCATGTATTCCATGCGATTTGATCCTCTGGACCAAAGTACTATGAAGAATCTTGTCAAGTGTTTTAATAAAGTTCATGTCAACAACATCCACGACATTATCCTCAATCATCTTTGCCACTTCCTCAATAAAAAACTTGATTGAGTTTGTGAGACAAGACCTTCCCCGCAAAAAGCCCTGCTGACTATTCCTAATAAGATGAGGCCTATTCAAGAATACTGTGTCCAATTCTGAGTGCACTGTTTTAGGAAGGATATTGTTAAGCTAGAGAGGGTTCAGAAGAGATTTACCAGGGTGTTGCCAAATATGGAAAGTTTGAGTTATAAAGAAAGGATGGAGAGGCTGGGACTGTTTTCACTGGAGCGTAGAAGGTTAAGAGGTGATGTTATAGAAGTTTATAAAATCATGAGGGGTATAGATAGAGTTAATGGTAGGTGCCTTTTCTACAATGGGGGGTTTCAAGACTAGGGGGCATATTTTTAAGGAGAGAGGACAGAGATTTAACAACGACAAAAAGGGGCAAATTTTTTTTAAAAACACCGGGTAATTTGCGTGTGGAATGAAGTTCCAAATGAAGTGGTGGATGCGGATGCAGTCACAATGTTTAGATGACACTTAGATAAGTTCACAAAAAGGAAGAGATTGGAGGGATACGGGTCAGCAGCAGGCAGGTGGGCCTAGTTTAGTTTGGGATTATGTTTAGCATGGACTGGATGGACCGAAAGGTCTGTTTCCATGCTGTATAACTTTCAGTCCATTTTTCTCCAAATTACAAGAAAGTCTTGTCCTTAAGAATCTCCTCCAATAACTTCCCAAACACTGATACAAGGCTCACCAGCCTATAACTTCCTGATTGTCCCAAGTACCTTTCTGTCCAGGACTCGCTGGACTGGAGGCAATCGTGAGGTGGTGAGGCCCTTTGCGGATTGGAGGCAAAGCCTCGAGCTTTGAAGCCCAGTGTGGTGTGAAGGCTAGGTACCACACAGACTGGGGTGGAAGGACTGTAATTTGAGTACCTTTATTTTATTTTGCCTTTTTATTTTTATGCTGGATTTGTAATTTATTATTGGTTTCTATTTTATACCAAATACTTAAGCATTGGTATCTTGTACCTAAGATAGCACAATAAGTGACAACTTTACTAACTTTTCACTGCACTCATTTGGAGTGTACGTGACAATAAAGCTTATTCAATCCCATTCAAACTTAAATAAAATAACAACATTGGCTATTCTCCAGTCTTCTGGGGCCTCGCCTGTGGCCCCAGCAATCTCCTCCCTTGCCTCCTTCAGTACCCTGGGACAGTTACCATTAGGCTCTTGAGGACTTATCTACCTTATTGTTTTTCCAAATACCCAAAACCTCCACCTTAATATCATCATGCCCCAGATTATCAAAATATGCCTCTCTCAATTAAGCATAATCTGTGGTGAATACCAATGTGAAGTACTCCTTAAGGACTTCACCCACTCCCTCTGGCTTCACACACAAATTCCCTCCTTTGTCCTTGAGTGGTTCCACCCTTACCCTAGTTACCCTCTTGCTCCTAATATACATGTAAAACTCCTTGGTGATTCTCCTTGATCCCACTTGCCAAGGGCATTTCATGGTCCCTTTTAGCCCTTCTAATTTCTTGTTTAAGTGTTTTTTATCTGCTTCCTTCATACGCCTCAAAGGCCTTGTTTGATTTCTGTTTCGTAACCTTTACGTATGCTTCCTTTACCTCATTAATTAAACTTATAACATCTCTTGCCATCTTTATCTTTCATCCTCACAGAAATATGCTAGTCCTGAACTCTGGTCAACTGACTTTTAAGAGATGTGGATTTACCTTCAAACAGCTGCCCCAATCCAATTTTTACACTTCCTGCTTAATACTGTAGAATTAGCACTTTCACACGAGGACCAGTCTTATCATTACTCCATAACTATCTTAAAACTTACAGAATTGTGATCAATGTTCTCAAAATGCTCCCCCACTGAAACTTCAATCACCTGGCCACGCTCATTCCCTAATACAAGGTCTAATACATTCTTGAGTTGTTTCAAGAATCCCTCTTGGAGACACCTAAGAAATTCTGCCCATCTATGCCCCTGGTATTAAGGGAGTTCCAGTGAATATTGGGGAAATTAAAATCACCCACTATAACAAACCTGTTTCTTTAATATCTTTCCATTATCTGCTTATAGATTTGTCCCTCTATTTCCCACTGGCTGCTGGAGGTCCTACAGTGTAACACCATCATTGTGTTTGCACTTTTCGTATTCCTAAGTTCTACCCATATTGCCTTGCTGGATAAGACTTCCACGATGTACTCTCTTTGTATAGCTGTGACATTCTCCTTCATCAGTATTGCAGCTCCATCACCCTTTTCATATCTGTCTCTATCACCCCTGGAACACTTAAACCCTGGAAAGTTGAGCTGCCAGTCCTGCAGTCATAAGCTACCCTCCCAAATGACACAAGCAAACCTCTCTACAAGGGTACTGGTACCCCTCCATTTTAAATGTAACTCATCCTTCTTATACAGGTCCCACTTTCTCTGGAAGAGTTCTCAATGAACCCGATATCTGAATTCCACCCTCCTACACCAGCTCTTCAGCCACACATTCAACTGTAATATCTTCCTATTTCTGGCCTCACTAGCATATGGCACAGGGAGTAATACCAAGATTACAACCCTAGAGGACCTCCTTTTCAACTTCCTACATAACTCCCTAAATTCCCTTTGCAAGACCTCATCTCTCTTTCTGCCTATGTTGTTGGTACCAGTATGGACACAACCTGCGAATACTCACCCTCCCCCTTCGGAATAGGCTGTGCCCACTCAGAGATATTCTTGACCCTGGCACCAGCGAGACAACAAACCATCCTGGAGGCTTGCTTGTAGTCACAGAAACCCCTATCTATGCCCCTGACTAGCGAGCTCCCTATCACTACCATTTCCCTACATTTCAACCTTCCCTGCTGTACAAAAGAGCCAGTTGTCATGCCACTGATCTGGCTGTTGCTATTGCTTTCACACTTTCTATTCCTCACAAACTGCAATGACAAGAGTAAGTATATTATACTCTCTCTCTCTCTCTAAACAACACTCTCACCTCTAGGCCTGAGCAGCAAAGACTACGTCACTTATTGAGTTGTGATGTCACCTCCAGAGCTCCACCTCTGGATTCAGCTCCGCTCTGCTCTGCCGCTGCTTTATCATTATCATGGACATTGGATTGCAAAGTACATCTAAGTGAAGTATTCTAAGACACGGTACGTATCTCATATAATGTTTTACAAATTGTCATTTAGAAGTGTAGAACTTGGGTATTGCCAAAAAAGGACATATCTTATCAAAACTTTTCATCCTGCATTCAAGCCAATTCACAAGAATACCAATTAAAGGGAAATACCAACCTTTATACTGCATGAGAAAATAGTGTAATTGGTTAGTAAGTGGGCACTGTTTGGCATTGGAATTTGCCATGGAGAATGCAGCCATTAATACTGATGGACAGTTAACTGCAAATTTTGTTTAAATTTTAAAATAGGCAGGTTGTCCCTGATTGGTCAGGAAATTGCCCTGAGAAATGAAATAGCAAATGGCTGTCAGCTATTTTGCTGAAACAGGCTCATTATTTGCAAATAAGCTGGCCCTATGTATTAATATACCTAGCTGATTGTAAAGAATAATGCTGAAAACTAATTTAGAATCATCAGTCAGACTCGCACTATTTCAGACCCGTGTGTAGTGGAAGCTTCTAGCAAACGGGGTCTCCTTGCCACATCAGCATTTAAATTTTTTAAGAAGTTTTATTTTAGCAATTTTTAAGTTCTATACTACTAAGTCAGGATATGTTTGACCAGGATTGGCAGATAGTTGGCACATGCAGTGGAAAAATGTGAAGTGACAAATTTCAGAAGAATGGGAAAATAGATAGTAATTCTGAGATTCTGTGGTAATATTTTAAAATGAAGTACCTAAACTTTAATTGCATGTATACAAGAACCATAAAATAGGAAAGTATCTTAGGTTTGGCACAGAGGTAGTAACAAGCAAAGCTAAACAGTATTTTTATCTTGTATAAGAATTAATAAAAGCACAATTGTATTACCTTACGCTTATTTTTATAAGATAAAAATACAATAATTGAAAAGCATATTATATATCTGCCAGCATGGCATTATACCAAGAGTTGAAAATCTGGCTATTTTCACTGGATTTGAGAAGATTAATGAGAGGCTTAATAGAAGCCTTCAAGTTTGCGAAATGTTTCATTGAAATAGATTGGTGAGTAACACAGTAATAGATAACTAATGGTTAAATATATAAAACCATTGCAATAGAAGAGTTCCTAGAGGCTGACAATAACGTACTTTGTAGGTACACATCGTGGCTGTTCCTCTGAAATAATGTCCATGTCAGGTATGTCTTGCTCATCCGATGAGGACTCCTGGTCATCCTTCTTTGAATTCTCTGGTTTGTGCTTCCTCCTTCGACGTCGTTTCTTTTTGGCTGAAGTATTATTTACAGTGTTGTCAATTTCTGTACCATTAAATGGACTGGGTAGTTCCGGATTCTGAATTAATTCAGGACTTGCCAAATCTGCCTCTCTTGCAGAATAAGCTCCTTCAACTGGTATCGGTGATGTTGTTAAGTGTGTTGGAAGGATCCCCTATGGAAAAAAAGTACTATGAGCAAAAGCGGTACTTTGGTCAAGTTGAACCTTACCTGTCACATCATTAATTTTTCTTTTTCATTTAGGAATGAGTTTCAAATAGGAATGGAGAAACTGGGACTGAGGATAGAAAGATTTCTTGAGTCATAGAATCACCATATGTTTAGAAATTTTCTGCAGCACATTCATAGAATCATTAGTTTGGAAATTTTCTAAAGCACATCATAACATAATAAGAACAGGATGGAGAAATTAAGTTACTAACGATCATAGACATTTAGCACTTAAATCACTGTAACGTGATCAGTGTGGGATAACATAGCGTTGTTACATTCAAGTCATGTCTGATTAATTCAGGTAATTTTTTGAGGATATTATTAACAAGAGACTATTCAGTTCATCATGCATGTGGTAGCTCTGTGAAAGATTTATGATTAGTCCCACATTTCTACATTCTCCCCATAACTTTTTCCTCTCAACTACTCATCCAAATCCTTCATAAAGGTACTATTAAAAAAAAGCTTTCCCCAACCTTTCAGGCAAAGAACTCCAATCATAATTCACCATATAAAAACAGATTCCTTCATCTCACCTCTGGCTCTTTTGGCTTACCTTAACTCCATTCAATGTGTTTCTTCTGGTTACTGACCAGATACAGTTACAATCTCAAAAGGGACAAGATAACTTTGAATAAGTGGCTTGAATTCCCAGTGATCAAAATTTTAACACAAACAGCTTTTACCACATTTTAAGACCTTTACTGGAATAAACCAATTAAATTCCTGCCATGGCAGATGGTGGAATTTGAATTCAATGAAAATCTGGAATTAAGAGCCTAATGACAGCCATGAATCCATTGTCAATTGTCAGAAATTAATGTAATTGTAATGTAATTAAAATAATTGTAATTGTCATCTGGTTCATTAATGTCCTTTAGGGAAGGAAACTGCCATCCTTACCTGGTCTGGCCTACATCTGACTCCAGTCCCATAGCAATGTGGTTGACTCTCAGCTGTCCTCTGGGATGGACAAATGCTAGCCTAGCCAGTGACACCCTCATTCCGTGAATGAATTTTAAAAAAAGCAACAACCACCTAAACCAACTGGTAGGCAACTCATGCTGTAAACTACAGAAAAGTTATCTCCTCTTCATCTTTTCAAAACCACCAAAAAAATCCTCACAGTTACCATTTACATTCTTCTTCCTACAGAGTTCAGCACTGCACTCAGCTTCCAACAGGTTAACTTGTCCTGGTTTTGCTGAATATTAATTTCAAGAGTCCATTAAAAATCACCATTTTCTGAAGAAGTCCCAAATTGACTGCCAGCAATTGCATTTCTGGTGATTCTTTTCTTCCCTGTTCACGCTAGGATAAATCTTCTAGATTCCTTAAAATCGCAGTAGGATGAGTCTCTTTAACCAGAGACAAAGACAGTCTTTCCTCCTACATTCTACCTTGTCACCCACAGGATGGGGCACTTTCCCCTCTGCTCAGACGTTCTGCAACCCTTCATATAACTATATCAAACCACTTTCTCTCTCTGACTTTCTGTCCAGAAACTCAAGAGGCAGAAAACTTGCCAGGGTTCTTGCCTTTGCTTCAAGTGCAAGAAGTATCTTGCTCAGCAAGTCCCACCAATCCTTGGTCATTAAGTCACCTGGTCTGCAGTTGGCAGTGTTATACTACCTCCTACCAAGCATTTTTTCCAGGATATTCTATTTTACCTGAAATTACAGAATTGGTTGAAAAGAAATTTACAAACTTCACATTTCTAACATTATGAATTCTCCTGATTTATCAAAAACAATTTATTTAATGCTGTTAGATCTTCTCATAACCTTTTGTGTAATAGGGAGAACAATTTCAATTTTATCTCTTCACTGAAATGAAGTCCCTTATTTCTGGAACCATTTGCAAAATTCAGATGCTTACAGCACAGGAGGCTATTCTGTCCATTGTATTTGCAAAGATCTGACTATATTAATCCTAATTTCTAGCTCTTGGCCCATAGCCCCACAGCCTCTCGCAATGCAAGCGGATAGCTAAATACAGCTTAAATGTTACAAGTATTTCTGACTGATCCACTTCTTCACAAGTGACTCCATCTTCCACAATTCTCAAATGGCGGAAGAAAAAATGCTCAAATCTCCTCATAGCCTTCTACCTCTTTGTAATGTAGTGCCCCCAGTTGCTAACCTCTCCACTAATAGGAAAGGTGCCTTTCCATTCACTCTATGCTCCTCAGAGACTAGGAATCCTACAGCAGTAAAAGTATAATCACCATAGTCCTAGCAGATTGTACACTGCTCCTATTACAGAGGGACAGCTGGTGGTGAGTTTAACCGGAGGGTCGCCACATTTCAGGTGAAGGTTGAGGCTGAGAAGGTGAGACCTTCATGGCAACCTCACTCAGCAGGCACAGGAATTGAACCAGTGCTGTTGGTGTCACTCTCCATCACAAACCAGTCATCCAGGCAACTCAGCTAACCTATCAAAAATAAGGAGACTTCATAAAGCGTTTTGCAAAAAAAAATTCAAGTAGCACAAAAGGTAGCAGAAAAATTGGAACTCCATCTCCTAAACAACTACTAACCATATCAGATCAACTTGCTATTCTTCATGAGCGCAGTATTAGACATTTCACGAGGTGATAGATAAATCTTGCATTAATGGATGCAGAACAGCAGCAGGAAATAGAGCAAAGATGTTGATTAGGCACAATCCAGTTGAAGAGTAAATCTTAACTTCTGCTTGTAAAATCGGCAAAGTAGTATGAGGAAAAAAAAGCTGTACAGTTCTCAAAAATCCCAAAGAGAATAGTTATTACAACAATGAATTTATTCTTGACGAGTTTATTGAAATTAGTCAACATAATTTTGACCTTGTTTTTAAGATTTTATTTTTTCTGAATCAGAACCAATGGAACTAAAACCAGCTGCAGATTATATAACATAGTGACAACTGTTGATGAACTTGACCAGAAGCCACTGCTTACACCCACTTTACACCCATCAGTAAAACATTTACAGCATTAGTTTACAGTGAACACATGTTGGAAATATGAAACTCCCAAGTTTAACTGCTGGAGGAGACACCTGATTTATTTCTAAAGTGGCAGCATACCTCATCTTCCTCAGTTTCTTCAACAAAAAAAGCCTCCCCATTGTCTCCAAGCTTCATTTGCAGCTCTACTGGTTCACCATTGATTTCAATATCAACCTGAAGTAAACAAAAAACATTGTACATAACCAGCACTTCATTGTTTCGCTGCTTCAGTCAAATGCCTGATCTAGCAAAAGGCTAATCTGCATTCAAAGTCACATGCTTCAAAATCATACAACTGATTTGCATGGTTCGGATTAAAGGATATTTTAAGAGTGCAAAGAAGCATGTATATGCGTTTCAATGTAAGACACAGCCAATAAAGATGAATTATTTCAGGACAATGCTATTCATTTTCAATGATTTAAAGTCTCTCATCATACTTGTAACTGTTACATTAATAAACAAGCACCAGTCTTCAGCCCAAACAGGAATAAGCTTCACCAGCTCGTGGTTACTCAATTAAAAATCTCACAAGACTGCAATTTACTTATTGAGTTGTTCAAGAATATTTCAAAAGGTATTTCCATTTTCCAGAATGGAGAAGTGTAGGTTCTAAATGTAAATTAACAAGTTACACATAATAGTATTCACATGTTAATTACTTGCAACAGAATAATGACTTGCGTCATTTCCAACAACATAACTGATTCAGAAAAATAACTTTAATGAAAGCTGCCATTAACTGAAACTTCAATTCTCATATCCTCTAAAAATCAAAATCCATTATCCATCATTATGAAACACAAATTTTTGATGAAAATTGGTTCACTAAACATGCATAGCAATTTTTAAAATTATGAAGAGTTTAAAAGGTCTACGAAGTTACTTAACATTTTCTGTCACACAACTTGAAACAAGATTCGATCCTATGCAGATGGATAATGAACAACAAAATGGAGGCTTAGTGAAGAAAGAAACTAAAATGACAGAGCTATATCAACTTATTGCTAGTTTCCAGAAATTCTAAGTGCAGACTTTTATTTTGAAATTCTTCGACCATCTGTGCAAAGTTTTGGAGCAATTAGTTCAAGAATTGAGGTCTATTACATAGCTCATTTATATACGTTCAATAAATGTTGATAAAGAGATCTTACCACTTTCTCTTTTGATCGCAGTACCCCAAGCTTCCCAAAACGAACATGAAAGGGTGAACAATGGTATGAGCCATCTGGCTGCCTCACTACTATGACATCGATGCATCCTGTCAAGGTAGCTGGATTCAGTCCTTTGTACAGTTTGTACACGTGCTCAGCCAACTGCCCAACATAATTCATGGTTTGGGACTGAAATAAAGTAAAAGAAAAATTAGGGACTATACGTCAGATGTCTCTGAATAACAGCACTTTGTGGTCAATAAATTAAATGGCATATTAAAAATAGGTTCCAAGTCAGGAATGCCGAATGATCAAATTATAATCTAACCTGAGGGAAACAAATCCTTTCTGCATGATGTCTTTGAAGTTTGGATGAATTTGGTGCAATGCTTCATTTTCCTGGGCTTATTAATGGATTTGCTACAAACTACAACCTTAAGATTTTATGGAGGGGAATCAGGTTTTCTCAGAAATTTACTCTTCTTCAGTGAGACAGGATTTTTCTAGCTTCCAACTAATGTTGAATTAGCTAAAAGAATGACAAATTTGAAATAATAAATTCATAAAAATACCAGCACAGGTGGTCACTTCAGCTCATTGTGCTTGTGGCAATATTAATTCCGTTTTGTTGGTGTCAATTTTGATTCTATTTCTTTTGAATTCTTTTAAACTTATTTATTGTGATTGACTGTACAAGCAGAGCCATTTAGATTGGATATTTTCATAAGCCTTTGCACGGGGAAATTGGATTAAAAGCATAAAGCAATCAAAATCATAATTTTGTTACCAATTCAGTGGTCTGTGAAAAAAGTCACTGTCCACCTTCTCAGAAGGAGAATTTTCATTAGATATCCCTTTAGATTTCTGTGCTAAATTAAATATAGACTTTCAAAGCCTCAATTTTGGCTCTCAACCTGGTGTTATCATCAAAACAATTGCTCCATTTTTCCATACTTTCTGTGGAAATGTACTAAAAACTGGTTAAAGTAATCCATTTAACATCTTATATATCCAAATATTTGTCAGCATTTCAAAATCTACTGTTTTTGTTTATTAATGGTATAATTAATCCACCATGGATGAAAACTCTTAATAGCTACTTGCATAATTACTATTCTTGTAGGTGATACCATGATAGATATTTTCACTGGGGAAAGAGTAAACAACTGCTCCATTATCATTCTTGCATTACCACAGTAACATATACTTTGACCACAAAGTTCCCGAAATTTCTTTCAATGCCAAAATTCCCTGTCATTTTTCTATGCACGAACTTAAGCTTCTGCTATCAAAAAAAGTTTGAAATAAAAAATTATTTTTTTCAATAGTAATATGATCCATGGAAGGTTTCAATACATATCTTAATGGCTAAGATGGTTTCCAGCGCATCAGCTCCCAAAGCACAGATTCGTTTTTTTTCTGTCCATTGCAATGTTTCCATTACAGCACAGTGGGGAGCTGCAGGAACACAGGAGGCCAGGCAGCAGAGGAGCAGGAAAGTTGACATTTCGGGTTGGGACCCTTCTTCAGAAATAGGGAAGGGGAAGGGAGCTCACAAATAAAGAGAGAGGAGGGGTGGGGCTGGGGAAGGTAGTGGGATGGTGATGGGTGAGTACTGGTAGGGAGTGGTGGGAATTGGTCAGTGAGGTGGGAGGGGCTGATAGGTGGGAGAGAAAACAGGTTGTGTCAGGTTAAGGAGGGGAGGTTTGGGGTGGGGGGGTGGTTGAGAGAGCGGGTTGGTCATGGGATGAGGCCGGGTGTGGGGAGATTTTAAAACTGGTAAAATCCATGTTTAGGCCATTGGGCTGTAGGCTCCCAAGGCGGAATATGAAGAGCTGCTCCTCCAGTTTGCCAAGCCGCCAGTGTTTGAGATGTGGTCTAACCAACATCCTCTATAACTTAAGCATAACATCCATACTTTTATGTTCAATTTTTCTCATAATTAAGGAGAGCATCCCATTTGCCTTCTTACTAGGTGCTATACCTGCATACTAACTTTCGGTGACACATGCACTAGGACACCTAGATCCCTCTGTACCTCAGATTCCACAGCTGTTCTCCATTTAAATAATACTCTGCTTTTTCATTCTTCCTGCCTAAATGTACTACTTCACATTTTTCAACATTACACTCCATTACACTTTTTGCCTCTGGATGTATCATAGTCTCCAATTCTGCCTCCAGTTAAAACTTTGAGACAAAGATGCTCAGACTTCAAGACTATGCTGCAGACATATTTGCCCTGAATCACAATAATACCCAGGAGCTCCCAAAAGCTGCAGCCTTGGCACATGATCTGTCCTACCATCCTTAAGTTTTAATTGGTCATTTCATTACCTTATTCATCAATTTGTAGGTTTTTATATGGTCATTAACTTTATCACCAATTTTCATACTACAATAAACTCAACAGAATAATCTTTACCCACTTACTGGATACCAAACAGCTAGCTCCTTTCTCTGAAATAGAGCCAAGACTTATTCACACAGGCCAAAAACAAAAGGAAAAAAATCTCCTCCCTCTCCCACCCTTGTCTCTTCACTGAGGCTATACAGGACATTGGTTCGGCTACGTTTGCAGTATAGCATGCAACTCTGGTCTCCCTCATATAGGAAACTAGAAAGGGTTCAGAAAAAAAACTTACGAGGACGTTGCCAGGGTTGGAGAGCTTCAGCTATAGAGAGAGGCTGAATATACTGGGGCTACTTTCCCTGGAGTGTCAGAGGGTGAGGGGTGACCTTATAGAGGTTTATAAAATCATGAGGAGCATGGATAGGGTAAATAGGCAAGGTCTTTTCCCTGGGGTGAGGGAGTCCAAAACTAGAGGGAATAGGTTTAAGGAGAGAGGGGAAAGATTTAAAAGGGATCTGAGGGGCAACTTTTTCACGCAGAGGGAGGTGCGTATGTGGAATGAACTGCCAGAGGAAGTGGTGGAGGCTGGTACGATTATAACATTTAAAAGGCATCTGGATGGGTATATGAATAGAAAGGATTTAGAGGGAAATGGGCCAAATGCTGGCAAATGGGACTAGCTTTACGAGTTGGACTGACGGGTCTGTTTCCGTGCTGTATTGCTCTATGAATCTATGACTAACACCTCACACACCAAACTTGAGGTTTGCACTCAGCTTCCCTGACTGCACCTGATTTTCTCAATCAGCAAACAATAATGCATTGCTTTCAGCACAAAGGTCAGATCAACAATTTTGGAAAGTCCAAGTAGTCCTGGAAATTCTGCTAAAGGATCATCAACCTGAAACATTAGCTGTTTGTCTTATACATGCTGCCAAATTGGCTCACTATTTCCAATATTCTGTTTTTATTCCTGTAAGGCAGCCTAACTGCAGTGCTTCAAATTGATTCAGACTCTTAACTACATAGATTTCAACATTCTCCACTCAATTTTTAATAACATATTTGATGAGTTTTCTATCTTTCCCTTTATCAAGGTGACCCTTCACAAAGTAACTGATTCCATCAGATTAACGTGCATGACTTGCCACACGAAATTCAATGCTATATAATGCACATTATTAAAGGCAAATTGCTTTTACATAGGGCAAAAAGCATACAATGAAAAAGTAACATAAACCAAGGCAGTTCTCTTCAAAATCGACTGGCTGTAAGCCTGAACTTATTCCCTGTATTTTGAGTAAGCTGATGAATTGAATAAAAGAGAAATGGGAAAGAAACAAAAAAGGGCAATATGATAAAATTTAATACTGTTTTCTACGTTAAATAACTAGATCAGATTGCCAATTCAAAGTTCGGTTTACTTGAGAGGGAATGACTGCAGTCTGCTTGATTACAGAGCAGTATTATGCATTTCATTCAAAAGAAGCCACTCAGTCCAACACTCCAAGATAGCAAATGAAATGCCAACTTCATTCAGCAAAAGCCATAGACAGAATCTTATTATCTTTTTAAGGAGGGGGGGGGGGGGGGGGGGGGGCATGGATTTGGAAGACTACAATCCCTGGAAGGACTTCGGTGGACAGGAAAGCTTGGACAAGACAAGTGTTTTTCAAAGAGGACAGGTCAAAGTGAAAGGTTGATTCAACATATTTGAAGGGGGAAAGAGACAGAACGAGAATAGAGAGAAAGAATAACAATATCAACTAACATTGCAACCAGAAAAGGAAGCTAGATGGTCAACAGTTCAGTGTGAATAGAGTCAAGGCATCACGTAGATAGTCTCATTAAAAGATGAACTCAGACAGGGCTCGTGGAAAATAATGGTCAGAACCTGGAGAAGAATGCATGTTCAAGGGTAGGACATGGTGGAACTTTACAGCAGGTTTGCTCAATGATCAAGTAGAAGGACAGAAGTGGCACGGACAGCCTCAATCTTAGGTGACAGAATGTCTGGAAACTCGTCACATATGTTGCTGGTGGTAGAGGTAGAGTAGCTGGCATGGAGGTTTAAGATGACAGATTGCAGGAGAAAAAAGGTTGCTGTAGGATATCTTTACATTGCAGGGTGATTCCAGATTCAACTCCTACTTCCTACTGTGCTAGACTATCTTAGCTGCTATGGCAATGATTTGAGTGTCCTACATCACAGAAAGGAAAACTGGAATAGGTTCATGACCTCTTCCTAATACTTATCCCCGCTGCAGCCACATGTATGCAATCCGAGGATGAGGACAAACTCAATTTCATAGAATCCCTACAGTGCAAACAGAGGCCTTTTGGCCCATTAAGTCTGCACCAACCCTCCAAAAAGCTTCCCATGGATGATGCCAGCCATGGTCAAACATTCTTGCACCTACCACCAGATGACTGAGAGTGACTGGGGTGAGATAACAAAGAATGACAGTGGTGCTTACAGAAATGTATTTCAGCAAAGAGGAATCAGGGAAGGAGAGAAAATTAGCATAAAAGCGAAAACACTAAGAGGTGGGCAATTTCTATTCGGGTTAAATTTAAGAAAAAATAAACAAGTTAGATCTTTCACTACAAGTTCTGCCTTTCAACACTTTCTCTACAAAAATATCTTTCTCCAGAAATAGTGTAAGTGCTCCTTTCAGTGCAGTTTTAAGAAAATGTCAAATAACCCTGCCAAATTCTAGCAAATTTTAATCTGAAAGAATTTATTGAAGACTGTCTTTGACTATATTAAAAGGTAGGAAACACAAATGTTGGTCGAAGTAAATGAATTCAGTTCCTTGCAAGATATCCAAAATCATAACTTACTCAAATTGAAGGTGACAATGTCACAACAGGGTCATTTTTAACCAAGTAAGAAAATTGATGTGGAGCAAACTGATTAACAGATTTGAGAGCTTCTTCTACAGACATTACTTTCAGTTATTGACCACAACTGGAAACTTGACATCCTCTGACCAAAGGAGGGGTCACACTATTTCAGCGTCATGTACTCTTCCCACATCAACAGAATGAACTCCAGAACAACTTCCATCCACATTATCAGTGCAGCACCATTTACCAACTACATAGGATTCGAAGTTTCACATACATTGAAAACCAATTTTTCACAACTGACAGCATACGGGAAACACACCCTCCACCACCCACTACGTCCATGCAAACGGAATTTCCCTTGACAACCCACATGAAAATCAGGATTAATGTACTTTCATTTTCAACATTTCATGGTTGGACAGTAACTATATTGTTGTCTGATTTTCTCACAGAAAGCCGTTTTACAGCCAAGCGTAACAATTAAATCTCAGTACAATATTGCTTTATTTTCCAAGTTAGCGATAGCAGCCCATCCCAATGTTTACAGTGCAGCATAAAATGACAATTAAAATGTATTATTGGCATCATTCACATATAAACCCATAAGAGAGGTCATCAATTGTCCACTCAAAACTTTTCAATTTGTTCCAAAAATAGCTTTGAATACAAATGTATTAGCATGCACTTTTAATTGGTTCATAAAGGTTTCAAAAGGAGTTATTTTACTGTTACTTGTACACAGTACTGCATATTAGAACTGGTGCCACTACTACCAAAATTTGTTTTCCCCATACAGATCATTCTCAGAGGTTTTACAAATGTAAATTTCATAGCAAACCATAGAATACTTAGTTGTTTCTTGTTATTCTAGTAATTTAAAAATTTTGTAATAGATCAATTAGAGTTGATCAAATGCTGCTCTTTACCTTAACTGCAGGAACCCTAGAACTGGATATTAAAGCAATAGAGGGATGGAGGAGGCGTTCTGATGAAAACACAGCCATACAAGTCTGAGGGTAAAAAAGATGGGAATAAAGGTAGAATCAAGGAGACAGGGAAGAATAGAAACAGTCAAGGAACAAAAACAACTATAAACTATAAGCATGATTTTTTTTAAAAAGTGAGGATAAAATTAATAAGAATAAATAATAAATTGAATTGCATATACATCAATGTGCATGGCATCTTAAACAAGGGAACTAGAAGACACAAGTAGAACCAAGGTGCCAGATTTAACAGCGACAACTCAATCATGGCCTGTTTCTGCACCACTGATTTGATGGAATTCAATGAATGACCATTCCCAGAATGAGAAATAAGGTACTGAATGCTTTTAAATAAAGTGTATACTAGGTGGCTTTCCTTTCAATACAGTCATTATTTTAACTTTAAAAACGGATATATTTTAAATCTACATAGAAGTTGTCATATTGCCTACGTGACAACATTGACAGCACTTCAAAGTATGTTGCTCCACCCTGATGACAGGATCAACCACTAATCTATTGACAACTTTTAATTTTGGTGTGATTTTTTTTGGAATCTCTTGCATTTCAAAGTTTAGTTATTTTGTTCCTCTTTGCAATAAAAATCAGTCCTAAACATACTTCCATTTTTTAAAATGTTTTCAGTTTGAATAAATTGCAGAATAACTTGTAGTCTCATGAATATGCTGGAGTAACAAGGTAAAATGGACTACACACCTTTATTTGTCCACACCTACCTTACTATTTCACTACCCTGCAATTCATACAACAATTCCCAGATTCAGAAGAATAAGGGGTTGCCGGTGCAATTAAGGAGGTCATAAACGTGGGTTGGGCAAGAATTGCATTCTGATAAGAAATCAGTGTTTTTGGATTTCAGGAGCCAGTGGGTTTCAAAGGTGGAAATTGAACAGCACCTAGTATCATGATTGTTGAGAAGTTACAGTAAACAACAGCTAAAAGTCAAACCTGTAGGTGAGAAAATATAAGTATATTCACATACAGATGAAATACAGTCAGGCAAGCAATACTGCAATGGTAACTACACTTCAAAAGTATTTTATTTATTGTCAAGTGCTTTGAGAAGACTCATGGTTGTGAAAAACTCCACAGTGTAAAGAAGAGTCCCTTTACGGACAAAAAAGTCATGTCAAAACCCATATTATTTGCACACATTTTTCAGTTTAGGTTGAGATCTGAAATGGTTTCATTCTTTTCCCATTAGATGGTGCTGTTCTGCACTATTATCACCAACACGTTTGACAGCATTGTAAGGAAAATTTGATAACTGAAAAGCATGGGAGAGTGCCATCTGCAGCATCAGTCATCTTTGATTATTTGGGGGAGGAGTAGGACACTTTCCAACCAATTACTAATGCAGGACAGCCATAAAAGTGCACACTTTCCATTTCACCACATAAAAAGCTAACAATATCCATTTTTAGGAAGGACATATATAAATCTTTTTTAATTAGTAAGGGTTAAAGGTTTCTGGGGAGTGAGCGAGAAAGAGAAGTTGAGGCCATAATCGTATTAAATTTTCAAGCGGGGTCGAGAGGTTGAATTACCTACTCCAAATTCTTCTGACCCATTTGTGACAACTTGCTGGCTCTTAAAACCTGCAACTGATCTTTCTTCCCTCAAGTGCCACTTGAAAACTTCAAATTACAAACAAGATTGAATTTTACAATACAACTGGTGCTGATGCATAACTAAGGTTTTGCTTCAGACCAATGTTGTAAAGGTGAGAGACTGATTGAATAGTTCTTTCAAAGATACAGCACAGATATGATGAGTTGAATGATCTCCCCCTGTGTTGTAAGATTCCACGATACTGAAGTGTAATATAAATATAACCCAAATCTGGTGCCAGGACATGGAGTTACCAGTATTTTCTCATTTTGAGATATTTAGATTCTCAAAGTTTGCAGTCGCTCCTTTATATTATTTCAAATTATAGGATTCAAATCTTTCTCCTTTTCCAAGACATTTCCTTCTCTCAGTAAATTCAATCCATACTCATCCAAATGCAATTGAAAAACCTACCACTAAACTGTTACCAACAGCTGAAGTTCTCTTGCATGTTTCCAACAACTTCAAACATTTAATCATTGAATTTTTCAGTCTATAAACAATGGTTTCTGGAATAAATTCATCAGACAAGAATACATCACTGACCTTAACACATGTTGAAGCACAGGTACTGTGTTGAAATATGATCAGTAGCCCAATGGATAATGCATGCAAGAATATTTAAATAAGATTCTATTTTTTTCTGCCACTTAACTGTCCAGGCCATATTGATTCCCATTATTTTACGAGACAACGTCTGAAATTTATTTTGGCTGAAGTATCAATCCAATGGCTACCATTTTCTAACCCTCACTAGATAGTTATGGTGTGAGAGGATGTGTCTGCTAACTTTGCACCTTTGTTTATAAATGGAGTTAGCAGAAGACTGAATAATTATAGGACTCGGTCTAACCTTGACAGTGAATAAAGTATTGGTATCATTTCTAAGGGGCACAATAAACTACCACTTATAAAGGCATCACTTAAAGACAGTCAGCATTAATTTGTGAAGGATTGTACTAGACTAACTTGACTGAATTTTCTGAGAAAGGGGACTGATGATAGTTGATGTGAATTATATTAGTTTTGGTAAGGATTTTAACAACATCGCATGTGGCAAACTTAGTTTTAAAAAGAAGCCTGACAGAATATATCAAGATCGATTCAAAGTTGGCTCAATGGTTACCTCCATACTATAAAGGATAACAGGTGATTGGGGTTTTGGGACTGGAAGGTTGTAGTCAGTAGAATTCATTACAAGTGTTAAGAGCAAGACCAGACACCCCACAAAGTATATTACGGAGATAGCCTGGACCCAAACTTTTATATTTTTTTTAAAAAGGCAAGTGGTAAGGTGGTGCATTCCAGTCATGATTTAATTGGTCCACCACTAAGCGTTAATTAAAACACACTTCATTCTCATAATACAGCTAAAATATAACAAAGAGAACTGGCATAACTTTACTCTATTGAAATACTTATCAAGATAATGTATTATTTAACCACTAATCATCAATTGTTTTAATATAAGCAGCGTCTCATAAACACGCTCAGACATAGTAGGAACTGCCGATGCTGGATTCTGAGATAACAAGGTGTGGAGCTGGATGAACACAGCAGGCCAGGCAGCATCAGAAGAGCAGGAAAGCTGATGTTTCAGGTCAGGACGCTTCTTTCCAACAGAGACAATTCAGTAACACAGTTATTATTCTTTTGTACTATCTCTCTTTCCAGTCTTTAGAAAGCAACAATCTCCTTTTAACTTTTTAAGAGGAAGCCTCTCTGTCCGAGACTTCACTCTAATAGCAGAGAA